TAATATAGATTCATAATGAATGGCGCCCAGCGTAAACAAAATGATATGGGAAAATTGCTACATTGAAATCTAGCGAAAATAACTGAGCTTAGTAGTTCATTTCAGTTCTTATCCATTAATCAATGGGCCATCACTGACGAACTCTTTCGGTGACTGCTGTCGTCGGGTTTACGCATTTATGACGCATTTTCTCATCTCGGATTCGCCGGCGCGGAATCTAGGCAAAAGGCAAACAACCGCTGCCAGTTGTTGCCCCACCGGGGGAAAAACGGAGAATTGAGAATAGAGCATCTTCGGGGCTCCGAAGCTCCCTGGGGCCATTACGCATACTTTGAGCTGCGGAGTTGATTTTCTCATTTGGAGGAGGTTGCACTCTAGATGTGTTTCCTCAGCCGGAGCTGCCGATGTCGATGCCGCTGATCATTATCAATGATCTGGCATTGCATTGCATTCCCATTGCAGTTGCTGATGCTGCTGATGCGGCTGATGTGGCTGATGCTGCTGCTGTGACTGACACAATGCCAGCTCAGTGCTCGCTGCTCCGAAATGCATCATCCTCCGATCCTACAGATTCCCCTCCCCTTCCCATATCCACGATCCTTCGCAGCGGGATCATTGACTATTGACCGCGCTGATTGATTACTTTGTCGCTGGCACGTTGGCAATTTATTGGGGAGATGCCAAGGCGAAGGAGCTACATAGCTGCCTCGCTTTGGATGATTAAAAATGCTTTTGTGTAAATTATTAGCTGCAAATTCACTCGCAGTCATTTGTTGTTGCCGTGTGTTGTCGCTCATAATTCTCGCCTTGAGGTTTTCCCCTCGATTGCTTTTTGGTGTGAAAATGATGTATGTGGCTCTGCGGTTGGTTTCGGTTTCAGCCAACCAACCACTCACTCGGTCTAGCCTTTGACTTTGGCCATAATACTGCCTGGTATTATGCCGCGGATTGCCAATGCCGCGCCTCTAAATTGGCGGCGGTCGCTTTGACTTTCCAACCTCCTCACAATCCCATGCCGCCATGGGTCCTCCGCAGGTCCTCTCTATTTCCGCACCCGAGGGTAGTCACCTTCTCGCTCTTTAGGATAGCATGTCTAAATTTCCTTAATATTTCCATTTGCTTGTTTGATAGAATTTATGTGCGCATTCTGAATTGGCAGAAACGAACCACAGCGCGAGATCATTGCAGGCATTCCAAGCAGCTGCTGCACTGAGCAAAATAAAACTTTAAAAGGTCCCTTTAGATTCTTACGTCTTAAGTTGTGTATAAGTATTCCGGTTGGTATCAAAACACAGATTGGTTAAGACTTGTTTGGTTAAACACATAGCATGTACCTTTTTTAATAACCAGTTAAACCTCCATTTAATTATGTATTTTTACAAGTGCCTGCTTGCTGCAGGGGCGACCACAGCAACCATGACAATGACAGCGTCTGGGGCAGAGCATTGCCAATATTTATTGACATTTAACCGAGGAACCGAGGAACGAAGGAACAGGGGGATGGGGCCACAAAAACAAGCGACTTCCCTCAGGATGCGGCAGCAACATGTTGTCGCAGTGACTGCAATGTTTGTTGCTGCATTGTTGCTGCTGCTGTTTGTTGCTGCTGGCTGGCTGTTTCAACTGTCAGTTATCATTCACTCAGCAGTAACATTCGAATCTTTCCCCAAGAAATGCGACTCCCTCCATGCAAATGCTCCCGCAGTGGCGGCCACTGAGTTATGGTTGCAAGTAGCAACCGACGACAGGATGTGTCTCCCAGAAGGCAACCACCAACCCCAACCGCTGCTCCACCCACCGGCCCCCCCTCAAACAGGCAATCCACCCAATTAACAGTGGACATCGACACCTCCCTGGAGCCTTTCTCTTTCCCACACCTGCACCTGCAACCAACTTGCAGCACCACAAATTTGAAATGAAATATTTTCGATTCTGCTGTCAACATGAGTTTTGTTGACAACACATTAGCAACTGTTGCCGTTGGTATTGCTGTTGCTCTCGCAGTTGTCGTGCACTGACAAAAATGCTTGTGGTACAATGAAAATTCCACGATTAAGTTTATTGTACATAAATGTTCGAGCAATGTTCAAAGCAATGCCTTCGAGAACTTTTATGTGAACCCTTAGTTTTAAAGTCACCTCATCAAATCGAGTTGCAAGTTTTTTTTCTGTGTGCAGTGCAGCAGCAGCAACATGTTGCCGCCGTTTGTGGCGACATCGCATCGGGACGTTGCGCATGCGCCGCACGATTTGCAATTTGCAGCTAATTGAACGCGTGCGCAGGCGCAGTTTGTTGTCGGCTCTCACGCTTCTCAACCCTCTTCTCGAGTATCCCCGCAATCGCAGTCCCAATCCTCCAGCGCCACTCCTTTTCCCACAGCAAGTTAGAAAAGTGCCAGGCGACAAATGGAGAACGACTTGAAAAAGCCACATGCGTGGTAACCTGAAACTGCTAGCCAGAGCCAGTCTCGGCCAGAGTCTAAATCTGCATCGGATTAAGAATCGAAATCAGGGTTCTGATATTAAATGAATTTCGACAGCGGCTTGCTCTTGAATGCTGTGCAGTTGGGTGTCGTTGGGTATCGGCGATGAGAACCCAACCAGTGGGTGGTGCCAATAGCCTAAACTGATTTTCCCAGTGATTATGCAGTATTCCCTCCCCTTTTTCTGGCATCTAGTTCACCCAATCCAGCATTTTCGCTGGCTTCTTCCGCAGCTCCCTTTTCAATATATTCATGCTCATATGTGGTTAGTTTACTTTTTGTCAAATGCCGCCTGCGGTGTTTCCATGTTGCTTCTGTTTCTGTTGCTGTGGCACAGCTTTGGTTTTTCGGGTCGTGCTAGTTTTGTTCTTTTTCTGGCCGTATGTTCCTCCTCCCTCCTGCACCCCATTAACCCCGCGTTTAACCCCCTGTTGCCCCCCGTAACCCCTCCTAACTGCCCAATTGCAGCGCACTTGTTTGTGTCCAAGAGCCTGGCAGCTTTGTTTTGTGTTTGGCCCCTTTACTTATCTCCCCAGCGCCCAAAAAACAAAAAAAAATAGGGAAAAAATAAGCAATATGTTTATGCATTTCTTGTGGTCGCTGTGGCGGTAGAGAACCAACAATGGCTGCTGACTTTGCCGCTGGAATGCGGCTCCATTAAATTGTGAGCCTAATACACGATTTGTTGCTGCCGTGGCTGCAACAGTTTCTGCTGTTGCTGTTGCTGTTGCTGCTGCTGCTGCTGCTGTTGCTGCCGTTTTGTTTGTTGTCGCTGTTGATTAGCAATTTAATTGATTTGTAGGCAACAATTTGTCTGGCACTTCAAATGCTCCCCGACTGTCGCCGGTTGGCCTCCAAAACAGCCGGTTGCCAGCTCATAAAATATTCATATGCCGCGATGTCTTGCAAAATCTGAGAAGTTGGGGGTGTTCAATCGCAGTATCATGCAAATCTACAGGCAACATGGCGTCGGATAAAAAAGAGGGAGAAAACGAGAAAAAGAGAAAACACCGAAGACAGAGAGGCCAATAAAACAGCAACAGGTGGCCACAGCCCTTTTGCCCAGTTTGTTTTCGCATGAGCTCCTCATGTTGCTGCCGTCGTTTCTCCTCCTCCTTTCGGTTATTAGCCATATTCAACAGGTACACCCATTTAATTAGAGGCTTCTTCTTCACACTCTCTCGCTTTTTCTCTGGGCCTGGCCCTCAAGGTAGCCATTTTGCGCGGTGTCTTCTGTGGCTTCTTTGGCTTCTGTGGTAGCTGCACGGTATTCCACTTCTATGACTTCTTTGTTGTTTCCAGCTATATGCCAAGTTTCATCAAAAACTCCCAAGAAGTCATGAGTCATAAAAAATTAACATGTTTTAAAGGTCAGTAAAACATAGCTGATTCCCTTTTTCGGATTCCTATTTCGGAGTAGCATCTAGAAGTGACTTCTATGACTACTAAACTATATTAGTTACTGTCCATTAAAAATTAAAAAAAAAATTCCCCTAAGCTTCTGGTGCTAATTTATGCCTCTAGTGGGATGTCTTTCTTTATAGGGAAACGATTTTATTGTTCTCTTCTTTTCGGTGGGTGGAGCCTAACTTTCTATTGAAATCTCAATTTTAATTTTACCAAACTTTTATCGCTCCCGTTTGGTGAATGTCCAACTGTGATACCCCAGATCCCATCCTAGATTTTAGTTTTAGCTTAAGTTATAGTTGCAGTTTCCGTTCGCGATGCAGGCAAAGCTTTATTAGATACACTGAGAGAATGTGGAATCATGTAACAACAAATGGTTTTCCGAAGAGCGAAGATCAATGGACTGGGAGAAACGCGTAATTTGGAATATCTTTCAAGAGATTTCTTACAGTGCACTTGCAGTTGCTGTTGGCTTACTGCTATTGCTGCCGATTGCAGGTGGCCGCCATTTGGGCCATGATTTATGCAGTGGCCGGGCATTAGAAAGGTCGTTCGCAGTTGTCGTCGCCAGTCGTGATTTCAGTGGAGACTGAGGAGGAGGTTGGAAAAGAGCGCCGGGGGAGGGAAGTTTGGTCAGGAGAGGGAGGATGGGGGAAATAGGCAAGCCAAGAAAATCCATTGCCACTTAAAGTCGGACGTCTTAATTAGGTTTTCTGCTGAAAAGTGCCGAAAAATGTTGGCTAATGCCCGCCTTGCCACGCCCACACGAGCCACAGACATTGTCTCTGACCCACAAATGTTCCTCCATCCTACCAAAAACACCTCTCTTCAGTTTTAGTCATGCCCCAATTCGAAGCTTTCTTCTGGTTCTCCCTGCGCGATTATAAATGACATCGCATTAGTCTTGGCCGGGTTAATGTGCGTCTCCTCTGGCCGAAATCTCCCGACTTCGCACAACTTCATTAGTGGGGAATCATGTGAGAAACACAGAATATCAGAGACAAGCAGAAGTTCCGGGAACTAAAGTACAGTTGTTTCCTCATCCTACGCAAGTTTTGATTCCAGCCCTGAGGCCTTAAGCTAGGATGGCTAGGTATGAACACCACCGTTATTATTCAACATTGATCGTGTATAAATATTTAGTTATCAAAACATTATTTTATGCTACATACATTTAAGACGCACATATAAAAATATACCCTATAAAAGTTAAATTTACTGTTTACCAAAAATAAATACCAAACTTATAAGCTTGAGCTTAAATTAGAACATTTCACTTAAGATACATTTTGAAGTCATAACTTTAGCATTTACATTTAAACATTTTTTGTGCAGTCAGAAATCCATACATGTAGATATAAATGATTCGGAGGAGTATCTACTTTTTTCAGGTTTTCATTGGCATAAACACATGACTTATCCTAATCCTAATCTAAAGAGTCGGTGGTTTGGGCAGCTCTTTGATCCCTGAGTTCCTGCTGATGCCTAATGGTCACCTCCAGGAACTTCAGATAGCCCTCGTCAATGGGTTCGATCTCCTCATCCTCGGAGGAACTCTCGTAGACGTAATCAAGGCAGTGCGTAGTGCCTGTTTCCTTGGGAGAATCCTCTAAGTTCTGATCCACATTCGGATTAACCCCAGGGCAGAGGCTCACAACATGATTGTGGTGCCATTCAAATAGGCTTTGGTATACTATAATAACAGGGGTTAGAATTTGGTAATCATTAAAAAGCAACTTCTTAATAGCTAATATTGTTACTTTGAGCCACATTGCTCCACTGATCTCGAGATGTCGGTGGCTTTGGCTTTCCCTCACTTTTCTGCCTTCGTCTGCGCTGCTTGCTCCTGTTCCTGTTTCGCTTTCTTGCCATTTCCCCCGATTTTCTATCCTCCATTGGCTTTTATTTGGAAAAAAACAAACATTCGTCGCCTTTTGTTTACTTCTCAGCTAAAGCAATAACAACACTGCAGTGTTGCCAACTTTTTAAAATGTTGCCAGACACTAAAATCGAGGGACCGTTTCACAGGAGCAGATGGCCCATATGTATCGTCTATCGGACTTTAACAGCTGTTAATTCTAGTGCTGCGTACAGAATGCAACCAAGCCTTAATCCAGATGGCGCTGTTACCAGACACCAAATACAGGGGCTTCAGGGAACAACAGATGGCGCCACCACGTCGCTTTAGATATACTAATTATTTCTGACGCGGAATATTTTAAAATATTAATTAAAAAAGGTTTTAAATAATTTATCTAAAAAACCACTACAACATATTAAAATATTTTATTAAAAAATCAATATAAATTGATGAATTTTTGATGAAATATCTTAATTTATCTTAATTTCTTAAATACATATTTTTCCTTTCCCTGCCGACGAGAGCAACCCCTTGAAGGCCCTTTTTCGGTCAACCGACTGACTTCGAAACTCCGGTTCAAACCTTCCCGGCAAAGGGCAAGCGCAAAGTTAAAGCCGGAGCAGAAGCCAAGCCGGATCGGGTCCAAATCCAGATCCAAGCCAATCCCAGCCAGAAATAGAGCCAAGCCGAGTAAGGCTAAAGCCAGAGGAAAAGGCAGAGGAGTTTTGTTTTTCTTGCAAATTCAAATCCCGCGCTTATAAATCTCGGTCGATCGCTCGGTCGCTCAAAGAAGAGAAGATGCGAAAACTGGGATTAGGGCGGATCAATTTGGCTGTAGTGCGAATGCAAATTGGCCAGCGGTACGATTTAAATGAGGCGGCCAAACAAAGGACACATTGATATGGAGTGCATCCTGCTGAGCCGGAACAAAAAGTCCGGGTATGGATGCACTTCCACTTTACCTGCCTCGTCCGGTTCATAAAGGAAAATTAGGTTTACACCTTCCCGGCCAATATGTTCATAAAACAATTTAGAGATTTACAAGGGGATCAACTTGAATGTGGTGCACAGTACATTTCATCCAACATATCCTGTGCCGCTCGTTCTTTTTCCGGCTCTTAAGTGGGTGTGGGTGTGTTTGTATTGCGGTTTTAGTGTAGCGAAAAAGGCGCGTGGTTATGGTTATGGATACGGCTACAGATATGGATATCATGGCCATCATCCCGCCCATCATCCCTCACTTTTCCCGAGCACTTCACACATGTTTACTTTGGCAACTAGCAGGGGAAGCGAAAGCTCTTCATTTCCGATGAAGTAATATGCGTTCTGATAATATGAAAAACATCCTGCGGCCAGGATTTGCACGCACTTATTCCCTTTTAATGGACTTGGCCAGCGATTTTTTCGCCCGCATGTATTTTGCATATTTTTTGCGCGCATCAAAGCCAAACCCAACGATTTTAATTCGAGTGGATCCTACGAGTGCTGGAGCTTGTAAACTAGTTCGGTAAATGTCGACAGTTTTTGAATTTACATGGAATTAATTACACATTTTGGTGAATTAAAACCTATAGACGACGTTGGTCAGAATGGCGGCTTATGTTCTTATACATGGAACCTTGATTCTGTGTATAACATCTGCAATACAGCAAGGAAATAAAATGAATAATGACTCTGTTGCACATGATAATTAAGTTATCCTAAATTCTAAAACGATAGGTTATTTATGGAACCATAACTTTTGATTCACTTTTAAGAGTGCCTCATAAATAATTTTTTTTAATTCATCCATTCGGAACCAGTTCCCTTTTGGCCACTCGAAAATCCCAAGGAGAATCCTCGCCGCGGGGAGCTGGGCGATTGCTACTTACTTGAGCTACATTAGGGACAATTTGCATTTGCACGGCTTGCAAATAGATATGTGGCCGCAGGACAACAAGACAATCAGGACTATCGGAACAATCGGAAGATGGGAGGATGCCGCCACAGGTATCTGTATCTCGGCCACTACTGTGCAGCGTGGGATTATAATTCTTGAGCACGGGATCAAAATAAAGCCTGCGGCCACCGAAAAGGGTAGCAAAAGCAGTGCTGATGGGAAAACAATGAAGTGCTGAGGGTAGCGAAAGGATTTTGGGTCGGGGCAGGACAAGTTAGTAACTCTCATTACTTTAAATGGATTTCAATTAAGTTGCAAATTGATCTCACAAACAATTGAGTCCCGTCGAGGCGTTTTGAGTGGTTCGGGCGTTGTGCTTTCTCGCAGCCTGAAAATGAATGCGACCTGGACTAGTGCTAAGCCCAACAATAGAGCTGCCTGCTCCGGATCCTGTTCCTTGCTCTCTGCTTTTTTGTTTCGCGAGTCTAGTCGCAGGCGGAAAATCAAGAAAAAGGAGGATGACTGAGGTGCTGCTCTTTTAAAATCAATTGAAATCGAGAGTAAAAACTAGTCATCTTAATTAATATTTTAAGATACATTTCATTGATGGACCCGAGCCTTATATTTTTGTAGTTTACATATCAAGTGTTTGGTTTTAAAAGCAAGTAAATCCTTTTTGGACAATTTTTTTCCAGTGGACACCCTGTGACAGAATCAGAATCGGAATCTGAATCGTTGGCTGCCTTCTTTCATCTGCTTTTGGATTGTAAGCGATATGCGGACTGCAGGCAAAAGGACAGCTGCCGAAGCACTTGGCACCCATTGCTTCTCCCCCACATTCCCAAGCCCGAAGCAAACTCATAAATGACTGGCAGTTTTCCCAGCCAAAGGAGCTAGGGCTCTGCTGCTGACAGGATAACGAGATTTTTCAAGTGGTCCTCCACTTCACACCCTTTTTATTCAGATGCAGCAACTGGTCCTGCTGCTGCTGCTGCTGAAATCAATATAAATCTCAACCTCAATCTGAATCTCAATCTAGTCCTGGTCCGAAGGACTTAGCAGATTTCTCTCGCAATTAGTCGAAAAGGAAATGGAAAAGGCGCAAAAAACGATTTTCCAAGGACTTAAACACGGACAGTGGGATAACAGGTTCGGGGGATGTAGTGAAATCCGAGGATCGAAGCAATCAAATGCGCATCACCAATCGCCGCTCAAAAACAAAGGGAAAAAATGAGAATAGTATGGCGGAGAAAGCATTTCTTTCTTCTGAGGGGCGTGTGATGGAAAAAGGACAAAAAGCGAAACAAAAAATGAGCAGGAAAATGGAGTAGGGAAACCTCCTATCTCTCTCTTTCTGTTTGCCATACAACGGGGCTTATCCCGGCTGATCTTTGTTGCGATTTGCAACGGTCAATTGAAAAGCGTCCAGGAAAACGATCAACGAAATCGTTAGGAACCCATAAACAGGACCTCAAAAACAGGACTAGGGCCAGGACCTGGATGGCGGTTTTGTTGTGCTTAGTTTTTTATGCCCGAGACAACATGGCAAATACCCAAAGAACACGGGGATAACAAGGAAATAGGGAATGCGACGAGAAAAGACGACAGGCCGGAGCAACTCAGAGGAAAACAAACACGCCACACACGCTGCAAAAAGAGCCTCCAGAGGAGCTGCTCTACAGTGACAAAAAATCGGCATAACAAGCCCCACTTAGTTTAATGCCAATATATTAATAAAAATATTAAAATTTTAACTAATAAAAAATACCTACAAAAATATAATAATACAACCCAAGGCAACAAATTGATATCTTTTAAATTATGGCTGCACAGTATCCGAAGATGGAAATATTTTATATGATTTTATAAACCATAAGTATTTGGTTGTCTTTAAGCTTTTTCTTTCCGTGCTATCCAATTCTGCGGCCTATATAAGGGATATCCCTTTTCCCACCTTTGCAATCCTAACATTTGTGTGATTCTATTTCTCTTTCGCGATTTGTTTGTTTGCCAATTTGTTTGGCTTTGTCTGAGGTGACGCATACATCGAGCCGGAACATGAGTTGGGCCGCAGTCGAATCTGAGGCCATATTTTGATTTGCGAGATTTGCCTAGAAAGAGTTAAGCCAACAAAAAAGCCCAAAGAAGCAGGAGAACGGTGGAAAGTCGGTCTGCAAAGAAAACTTGGCTAATTAATTGAGTTGAAGTAATTTTCGTTAGAGAGAAAAGTTCTTGCAAATGGGATTGCCTTTAACCGGGATCCCTTTTTCACCTCCTTCGTTCAGGATGTTTTCCCAGCCATTTCCACTTGACAAATATTTGACTGGCCTTTTATTTTTTTCCACCCACTCGCCCCTAAAATATCCTCCGGACACATAATTTAAATTTTTAATTACGCATCAAATCAAAATGAACAATTATGACAGCCCAAAAACAGTAAGAAAGGGAGAGTTGTTTATGAGATGACTTTTCGAAAGGCGTATCGATAAAAAAATTGTATTTAAAGATATTAAACTCAAATAAAAGTCGTAAGTCGTAAAATTCGTTTACATACATATGTACATATCGTCTATTACGATATATTATAGTAAGTAATTCAACCTTAAAGAACAGAGAAATGGGTTTACAAATATTTAAATACTATTTACTTAATCATTCTTTGCTTCGGACAATATTTAAATACCAAATAATAAAACCATCAGATTTTCTGCACAAATAAATTGCCGGAGGCTTAAGGCTTCTAACCAGAGCTTGCTCGGAGGATATCTGTCAATTGATTTCTCACTTGGTTTTATTATATTGCCCTATTCTATGGAGCCCTGAATTGAAGCATTATCCAAAATATCTTCCCAAAGCAAATCAAACAACCCGGCAATCCCTCCGTAGCCCAATATCAAACAGCCCTGACCAAAGTGTGGCCTTGTTTACGCAAATACGAGACCAAAACAAGGATCTTTGTGGATGTGGAAAAAAGCAGCTGCTCCTGATGGCCGCTCTCTGTCTCTTTCCTGCGTATTTGCCATCTCTTTCTCGCTTAATTCGGCGATTCATTTGTCGACCATTTTGGGTTTCCCTCACGCCCCAGGTCGCTCCTTCCATCGTATCTCATTCATCCGCACGGGTTCTCGGTTTTATTGCACCTTTTGTCCCATCTAGCGCTCTCTTTCTGATCCGATCCGATCTTCCCGTCTCTTTCTCCTCCCCGCCATGCGTAATCGATGCAATTTGCACGCTTACGCATATCGCAAGATTAAACTTATCCCTGATCCATGAGCTGACTGATCCCTTGATGCGACTGCCATGGCCGTAGATTGCTTCGATTTCCTACACTGAGAGGCTGAATATAAAAATGGGTGAGAACTGAGAAGTGTTAGGGAAGGAATTGATAAATACAATTAATTATCAATTTTTCGTTGTGAAGTCAATCATAAGTCAGCAGCCACGGAATCGAATGGGATCTGGGCGGCATCCGTACACTTGGAATATTGGAATAATAATATGTTTCATTACCTATAAACTATTTCTCCTTGTGTACCTCTGGGATCCGATGAAAAACCTTCGACCGGATCAACTGCGCGACGCATAAAACGATATTTGGATTAAACATTTAATTGACTGCTGAGCAAAACCGGTGTGACCATATAGAGACATAACCAGGGGTTGCTGCTGCTGGCGGGGATTAGAGCCCGATTCCGACGTCGAAGCTTCATTACCATATCAATGTCGGCAGCAGGCGACTCAGACTCAATTGCAAATCCTCAGCACGGGATTTGGCTGCTGAATCCGAAGAATCTGATTCCGATTCTGGTGCGGATTCTGCTGCTGATTTCGATTTGGCTTCTCGAGGAAATTCGCTTAAATTTTTAACAAGACAAATACGCAAAGCACACGCCCCCTCCCCCCTATTTTCCATCTCTCCCGGTTTTACCGCTTCTGGGAAACAATCACGGAGAAAGGGAGAGAAAGAGAGAGCAGGGAAAACTTTTCTAATTTTGCACAACTGGAAAATGTGGCCGTGGGCGTTGAAAGAGAAATGGCAACAGAAAATCGAAATAAAAATCATCAGCATCGGGAGGGAGCCAAGAAAAAGTTGAAGATGATGATGGTTTTTTCTACATTGTGTTTTCCCGCTTTTTCTCCGGCGCTCAAATGGAAAAGTAGAAAAACCTTTTATTCCACAATGTTTGCTTAGTCCTTTGCCAATTGAACTTTTTCGCACAGCCAATCGAAGGGGTAGTGGTACTCAGCCAAATACAATACTTAGACAAGTTAATTTAATTTTTTATTTAAAATTCAATCTGCGAACTAAAACAAAAAGTGCACAGCAAGTGGGGAAAGAAATCAGGTCAGAGGTCAGAGTAGGTAGAAAAGGAAACAAAAAGTTTCATGAGAAAAAACAAGTAGAACAAGTAGTGAGAAAAATAATAGAAAAAAGTGCGACACATCTTTTGAGCTTAGCGAAAAGCGCACTCCCAGACCTTCCTCCTCTTTTCCTCTCGCAACTCAATTTTTCCTTTGTATTTACTCCATCGTCATCATCGGTTTTCCCGTCGGGAGTTCTTGGCCATGTAAGAAGTTCAGTGTAAAGGCAAATAGCGAAGCCCAGAGAAAACCGAGCTGCAGAATCCACAGAGACTTGGGGGAGGGAAGAGAACCAGAAATATCCTGGTCCTGCGGTCCTTGGCCTGCTTAATTATTCAATAATTTCTAAAAGCATTTGGCCACATGCGACGTCATCAGCCGTCATCCTTTCATCCTTTTACGGCATGTGACAGGACCGCTCCTCTTCTTCCGCTCCCCCGTAATCAGTTGAACACATATACCCCAAACACACACTGAAACATCTGCATTTATGTAAGCTTCCCTCCCTGGACCCCTCTGAGTTCTTCTCAGTACACAGAGCGAATTGGGTGCAATTAAATCTCCTCGTTCCCTACTTGGTTTCCCGTTGTTGTTATGATCGGTATTTTGCAGTTCCTCAGAAACTCCTAATCTTACATGGATCTCCGTATCCAGGCAGAATTGAAAATAGTTAGTATGTAAATTGATTACCTTACTTGGGAATTATTTCGCCAAGTGCTCCCAATTTTTCACCCCCACATAGGTGACATTGTAAGGACTTTTCGGTTCATTTGCTTTTCCTGGCTGGATTTCCATTCGTGATTGTGGGTGTGGTTTGCAGAGTTGCATTTATCATTAGTCGTAGCTTAGCTTTTGTTTTCCTGCACTCGAGAGGCGGAGGATATCAGGGGAACCCTGGCGGCCATTGGGGATTTTGCACTTGGGCATGTTTGATGTGGAAACTTTAGATTAAAATATTTTCATATGCACACACATGAGGTGAAACAATAGCGACTAGGGTCACCAAAGTGCCGTAGATTATTGAATGAGCGCTACCAAGTCTCCCTCCAGTGTAAGCTTCATCTTTATGTATAGCGGCGTGCTGCGTTCTATATAAAGCGTTCCCCTCAACCCTTTTGAAAACCTTAACATCTGCAAGAATGGAGATGATAAAGATAAAGCTGGAAAAGGCAGAAAGAGCAAGAAGCAGCGCTTCTCCGTGGGCGGATTGAGCGCATAATGATGTTTATGTGTTGCCAGAAACATAAAAGCATTAATTTAGTCATTATCTTCTTAAGACACGGCGCCGGCAGAGGCAGTGGAGTATCAGAATCCCCTGAACGCGAGAAGAGAGCGTCAGGCTTTTTGCCACCCATCATTTCCATCAACATTTTTATGCTACCCCCTGCTACACACTCTGAGTGAAAGCGAGAGAGCTTCTGTTGTCATCTCCTGCGCACCCGCTTCCCATCTCTTTCGCTCCCTCGACAGCTATCTCTTTCTGTGGGGGCCGCAGGGTCTGTCAGTGATGACTTTATCTGTATAAATAACTGTCAGTGGCCAAAGAAAGTAAGTAGAGAGCTGAAAAATACAAAAAATATATGGAAGCATGTTGGGGTGCGAATTGGGGGAAAAGTAGGCGTTTGGTGAGTGGGACATTATCTCCGTAGCGCCATCTTTATCCTGGCCCTCCTGCCTCCTGCCTTCTGCCAGCCTTCAACCTGGAACACTGCAAGATGGGGGCCCGACACCATCAACCACCACCAGCAAGAGCGAGAGAAGGAGATATTGAGTGAAAGCAAGAAAGGGAGGGAGGATAGAGAGAGAAACGTCCAAAGCCAGAGAGCATTGCCAAGCAATATGGTAGCGTTGAGGGCGTGGCTTCACCCCGATTTCATTGGCCAAAGTCGAAAAATGTCCGCTTAACGAGAGAGCAGATGTGAGTTTGTATCTGGCATCTGAGAGCATGTAGCTATATCTGTCGAGGAACTGGCCTAACGACTACTCAATCGACAACTTGTCGGGCGGAACGCTCTCACAACACTTTCGCAGCTCGAGCGGACAAGAAGGGTTCCCGGTGGCTGCAGACCTGTGGAAAAATAAATTATAATCACGACGCGATTGCAGTGCGTATTTCTAGTGCGGTTTAGTGGACTTGGGATCGATCAAATTGCACAAGGGTTTTATCAATCCAGTGAAAGAAAAACGCAGACTTAATACACTCACCATTGCCGGCTAGTGAATTACAAATAAATTTAAAAGCGCTCTGTGCTTCAAAAGTGCCGCTTCTCAAAATAGCAGTGGGAAAGAGACATTTTCCTACTCGAAAGTTTTATAGACTTCTTCAAAATTCTCTCCTCACTGTGGACCCCTGGAGGAGGCGGTGGAGGCACCACCACCACCACTCCCAGCACCACGCCCGACATACCGCCCTCGAAGGCCAAGTTCAAGATCACCGTCGTGAGCACGCCCAGCCCCTCCCCGCCGCCTACGCCCCCTCCGGCTGGATCTATGCTGGCACAAATGGTCGAGACAAATTCCCCGCCGGCGGGTTACACCCTCAAAAGGTCGCCCAGCGATCTCGGCGAGCAGCAGCAGCCTCCAAGGCAGATCTCGCGATCTCCGGGCAACACGGCCGCCTATCACCTGACCACCGCCATGCTCCTGAACTCCCAGCAATGCGGCTACTTGGGCCAGCGATTGCAGTCGGTCCTCCAGCAGCAGCACGCCCAGCACCAGCAGTCACAAAGTCAAACTCCGTCCTCCGATGATGGCAGCCAGTCGGGTGTCACCATTCTGGAAGAGGAAAGAAGAGGCGGAGCCGCAGCCGCATCTCTCTTCACCATTGACAGCATTTTGGGCTCCCGTCAACAGGGTGGAGGGTCCGCTCCAAGTCAAGGCAACCACATCAGCAGCAATAGCAACCAAAATGGACTGACCTCGAATGGCATCAGTTTGGGTCTGAAGAGAAGTGGCGCCGAGTCCCCCGCCTCGCCGAACTCAAACTCTAGTTCTAGCGCAGCCGCCAGTCCCATCCGACCGCAGAGGGTTCCTGCCATGCTGCAGCATCCTGGCCTGCATCTGGGTCACTTGGCGGCTGCAGCGGCGAGCGGTTTTGCCGCCTCTCCCTCGGATTTTCTGGGTAAGCCTAAACATATCCCCCTATTCCTAGCTTTATCCCCCCCAGCTGAAATTGATATGCCCTTTTCATAAAGGCAACTTAAGTAAGCCCCAATTCAAAGGATGCGTTTTTAAAACACTTTTAAGTTGATATAGATTTTAAAACATGTACCTTTATTTCATGTTTCTACACTCCGAAAGCACCTTAAGGCAACTTACTCATTCAGTCAGGAATCATCCATTCACCCACTCAACCAAACCACTCCACTCCTGACATCCTCATCCTCACCCACTGAACCGAACCACTCCCATTCCCAGGGAGTCCTGAATGGCATTATTCATAATTAGGCAATGATCCGTGAAAGATGATTCCGCATTTCCTTTCCATTTTCCTTCGATTTTGCGGTGAGAGGATTTGCATTGGGCTCTAAGTCTTAGCTTTGTTGGGAAAACCAGGGTAATTCGGGATGCTGGGGTGGCTTTAAGATGGGCTCGGGTCTTGTGTTGATTCGAGCGCAGATCTCAGCGCAGATTTATGCAGAATACCGCTTAAATTCATTCAAAGGCTCCCCCGCAGGACATGAATATTAAAAACCTGGGCGCAACTTTTTTCCCCAGCTTGCTGCAACCGGAAACGGAAGCCTCACATACGCCTACAGCTGGGGTCAAAGGAATAGATCCGTTCTTGTGATATGTTACTTAAATATGATTGTAACACTCTTCGTAAAGATGTGCACATGTTTTTCAAGTATTGAATTTCCTGAAAACTGGAAATAGTCTTACATTTTTGAACTGCTACTCGTTTTGCGTCTGCTGTAAGCCAACATGGCGGCAGTTTTATTTTGCGCGTTTCGTTATGCGCATTTTTAAGGATTTACCCAGGAACATCCCACTTACACCCTTTTCCGTGTTCCTCTTTCCTGCAGTTATATGATGATGATATGGCTGTTATTACAACCAGGGAATAATGAATTTTCCTTTTGTTTTTCCTGCAGTGGCGTACCCCAACTTCTATCCAAACTACATGCACGCCGCTGCGGTGGCGCATGTGGCCGCTGCTCAGATGCAGGCGCATGTGAGTGGAGCAGCCGCTGGATTGTCGGGTCACGGGCACCATCCGCACCACCCACATGGGCACCCGCACCACCCACATCTGGGCGCCCACCATCACGGACAGCACCACCTCAGCCATCTGGGTCATGGACCTCCGCCGAAGAGGAAGCGTCGCCATCGCACCATCTTCACGGAGGAGCAGTTGGAGCAACTGGAGGCCACCTTCGACAAAACCCACTACCCAGATGTGGTGCTCAGGGAACAACTTGCCCTCAAGGTGGATCTCAAAGAGGAAAGAGTTGAGGTGAGTTTAGAGCTCTTAATTTTTAATTTGTTTCTCTGTGCTTTCTACAAATGTGCCTAAAAGTGTGTATAAGCTTACAACTTTACAGACCTTTAAATGTGATTTCTCTGAACCTGCTTTATCACCCCAAAAACATTCAATGCATGGTTTTACCTTTTGATCACTGTGTTCTCCCTAGCATCCTCTCCCACTTCCAGTCAAACAGTATTTTCTTCTATTTGGCTCTAATTTCACGCTCGTTTTAATTCGCAGCGTGAAACCAATTGAGTGCTACACCCCCGCTCTTCTCCACTTAAGCAGAATCAGATTCCGAATCTGAATCTCTGGCATCTGCATCGCAATCTCTATTCTCTCCACGGATTCTCCCTCTGAGAACTTCTCCTTGTTTATTTAGTTGTCAGCGGCGTACATTTTGAGGGGCTTCTTCGCCGGCGAAAGCAAAACAATGCCAATCCCAATGATTCACTTAATTTGGGTAATGGGACTCGGGATACAACCGCATGTTTAAACGGATGGTGATGGTTATTTGCTTGGTGGTTGCCCCTGAATCGTATCATTGGTAATGTAAATATGCAGGGATTCCGCCTCCTTCGCCCTTGTAAATCCCACCCCGGGGGATGAACCATCCCTTTGACATCGGCAATTGTGATTCAAAGTCCATTAGTGTCGAGGAAACCCAACAACAAACAAACAAATTGAGAGGTCACCAAGGAAGAAAGTGACGACAAAAGTTGACAATTTAATTTGTTCACATTTTTGGTGCATTGATGGGTGGCTATTTCGCGTCTTTGATGAGGATTACCCACGCTTTCCGGGTTACGGGCTCCGAGTTCCGGAACCCCTTAGTTTGCGTTTCCCTGGCAATATGTTTGTCAACCGGTCAAATGTTTAATCTAACCCATCCAACCCCATCACACCCTCACCTTTCGCTGCGCAGGAAGGAGGACAAGTGCGACATTTGTTGACACTCGAAGGGTTTTGGCTTATGTTTAGCCTTGAGCTTAAGACAACTTACACATTAACATTACTAACCATTTAGGATAATGAGCAGCGTGGCGTTACTCAACCCGCAGGCGAATTGACGCCCGCTTTTTGATTAGGCGACAAATTTGACCCGCGGCGAGCATTGGAATCCTAAGCGGATTAGAATGCAGGTTGTAAGTTGCGAGGCGAGCGTTCTACAATAGAAAAGCAAATGAAAAGCCGAGGTGGGGAAAGATTTCCCAACTCCTCAACTAATTGGAATTCGACGGACTCGAATCTGCTGGCTCACGGGGGCGACTAATTAACATACAACACACAAAAAGAGACTTCAAACTTGTCTCTGACAAGCAAAGTGGATGAGGAAAGAGACGGAGCAATCCCAATCCCCAAGTAAATCTTGTGCTCAGTCATCGCTCGTCATTGACTTAAGCAGCATAATCAACTTCAGCTCTGGCTTCCAACTCGGAACCCCGGCTTTTGTGACTGCTACTGTTTAGCATATTTGCATGCCAAGAGCTGCCACTCGAGGCCTCCGAGCCCCCCGATTTCGGGACAGTCTCTAAGACCCCAGCCGCTCCATAAGTGGCAATAATTATTGAAAATCTTGCCTAAGACAAACAGCAGCAATAACAAAAGAGAAAACAACTGACAAAAAACTGAACAAATTCGAAGCCTACACATGCGATTCTCTAGCGGAAAAGAGTACGTTCGATCGGTGATCAATTGGGTTTGCAAAGGGGGCTCAATCACACACCAAAAGCCATAGATGGCAACTAAGTTAGATTATTAGTCAGGCTGGAATATAGTCATGCTATATGCAAACCAAAAGTTCCAGCTGAAATGGTGGTTCTCATAGATTTCCTTCTCCTAAGCAGTCAGTTCCCATCCACAGCTCGTTCGGCATTTAAATGATCTGCTTATTTTGACTTCATAATTTACAATTATTATTTTTATTTAGCCACTCGAGGCGAGGGTCGGGTGGCTTCTTCTCGGACCGGATTGGATCGGATTGGTTTGCATGGGATTGTATGGGATTGGACCGTAAAACAGTAGCTCTACCTGTAGAGCAAACAAACCCGTTCTCTGTCCGCCTGCCTCTCTTTTTTCGCCTTGGCTTCTTTGGTGCGTGCAAGTCAAATACGCCTAATCCCGCAGCTCAAGTGATCGAGGTGATTTCGTTCTCCGATCAGCCAGATATGGAGGGATATGGCTGGGGATGTAGTGGAGGAATGCCTGGAGGGCATTTCAAATATTTGTCTTCGGTCGTCGCCAAGAAATTAGTAATCATCAGCCTGGCATAATTTGTGCTCCTCTCTCCTTTCGATCGCTCAACTCCACAAATATTGATGTTACCCCTTCCCAGACTTATAGAGAGTGGAGAACGGAGAAGAATGTGCCCACTCATCACTCCCATCACTCCATTGTGAACTGATCTCTGTTGTGTCTGCTGTTTTCTCTCACTGTCGTTTTGTTTTGGCCAGGAATTGAAAAGGGCTTGTCACCCTACTGCCTTTCTTTCGAGGATCATCCGGAATCTCAAGCGTTGCCGCTTTGAAGTTGCACAATTGAGAGGCCTCAGCTACAAAAGGGATCGTTTTTTTTCTATTTCGGGGCCACCTGCGTTGGCAATTAACTAAAATATGGCTTCTGTACGATAACTATTATTATTATTGTTGTCTCTCCTTAGACACAATAAACACATCACTCCCCTTTACCAATGCTTGTTTAGCCTCGAAATTGAATTAAAAACGGCAATGAGCTGGAATCAGCAGATTTTCGTTAATTTAACCCGAGGTCACAAACCACCCACCACCCACAACCCACCATCCACCACCCACTGGGTGAGCCACTCAACAACCTTTCCGCCCACAAATCTCACACCCCACACAGCCGTAAATGCTGTTGTTATAATTTTTCATAATTTTCCATTATTCAAACACTTGAGTCTTGGGATGCGAATTTTCAGTTATCCCCCGAGAATTCTCGGGCAGCAAAGTGCGTTTATATCCCCGAGCCATGGAAAATGGAAAGATTGGAGGGGCGGGCTTTTTCCGAGGGGAGCAGACGCTTTTCCCATGTTTGCTTTACAGTTTTGGCTGTCGAAGCGTGTAACCGTAGACAAATATTATCGCTGGGGGAGGAAATTGCCCCCGAAGCTGCATAAATTTACACAAAAAACGCAGTGGGTGGTGAAAGGTGGCGCGACAGGTGCACTTCTCACTAAGCTCTTAAAAGGTCGTCCGTGCCGGCGATTAGCAATAAAAAAAGGAATTTCATAAAACAGGTTACATTTAAATGCCATTTTGAGGGTAAAAATACATTAATTTTGATGCGGCCAAATGACAGACTATAGAATAACACCGCTTGAATGTCTTATTCGGGATAATTTAAAAAGTGCTCGCTTTTCTTGTAATCCCCATCATAAAAACGTTGAAAAGCAGTTCCACTCACCCATTTTCTTTTTGTGCTTCTCATTTTGTTTTTCTGCTTTGCATTTTCTCTCAGCAATATTACGGTTAAACGCTTTCCAGAGGTAATTTGATAGAGGCATTCTAACCTTTTATGAAATCACTTAAAAAATCACTCACACCAATCACTTTAAAAAAAATGACAAAAAAAAAACACAAGAAGTGTACAAAAAAATGGTCGTCCACATGCAGTTATGTATGTTTGTATGTACGACGTGCCATGCAAATTGGCACGTCGCACATACATACATACATACATGCACGCAAGCGGGGTGCTTCTCTCCCTTTTAATTATTTTTTTATAGGATTTAATGCATTTGCCCTCAGATTTGTTGACGCACCACCTTAGTAACACTTAGTAAACACTTTTATCACAAATTTACTTTAAATTGCCGTGTTTTAATCGACAGAAACACTTTTTAATTAAGTACAACTTTCATACTCTCCTTTCGGACTCTCCAATTGCCGACGAGGAAAGTTTTTCGATTCGATCTACTGATATTTCTTTTTCGGCGCGTGTTGTGCATAAGTGCACAACATAAACAAGAGCTCCCGAAGTTGTTTTAAATAATTTGAAGCTATTTCTTCATGTTTAAACCACGAAAACGCACTTTTTAAATTGCACTCTTTCCACTTTTCTTCCTCTTCTCTTACCCAGCCCGCTACACTGGGCGTCTTTTCCAACACTACTTTCTGTACTGTAATTTGGCACTAACGCGATCTACCTTAAACCTAATTGGACTTTTAAAGTTTGAACTTATGGACTTTTTTATTTGATATTCATGCATGCAGTTCCTTAACCCCACAATACACTGAACCAAATAGCGAGTGGGAACGTGCGTAACGAGCAATTTTCATGGGTGCGCGAATTTAATCCAACAACACGTCGAAAACAGCGTCAACAATTCACCAAAAAAGGTTCTATGGTAATTGGGGTGCAGTTGGCACCACCCATTTTGGTGACGAAGTTTCCAACCGACTTGTGCTGCCAATTTTCACTAATTAGAGTGACTGGCGAAAGGCAGCCGCCATTTTGAGCTTTCCACCGCCCAACCTCCCCCTTTTCCGGCCGCACTCCCCATCTTAACCCCTGACTGCCTATTTTTATTAGCCTTTCCTGGAGCCAGGCAAAAATGTGACTGCTGTTCTTATTTTTTGGCAGCCTGGCGCTTTCAATGTTTTTTGGCTTTTGCCGGGACACATTTTCCGGGCCCGGAAAAACACGGCAAAATTAGGGGGAAAGTTCGAACGAGCAGGTGCAGCGATTATCGAAGCGCAAAGTTATCATAGCAGTGCAACTATGGACTGCACTTTCGGATACATTCCATGGTAATCCAGCCACGCAGTCAGCAGACTGGCCAAAAACCCAAAAATAACACACACATCGTGGTGGTCAGTCTGCTCGCCCACTGCCCCGCCCCTTGAATTTCAGAATTGGCCAGGGGGAAAACCGAGGGGCGGGTGGGGCAGAGGGGTCTGGAGCGTAAAGCGCTTTTGTAGTTAATTAAAAATCAACTGCCGTGGGCATGTTTGTTCAATGGATTTCATGCACGTTTCGAATGTGTGCCGTGCCGCTCGTCGGCCTTTTTGGCCCTCGCCACGACTTTCCTGCGGTATCAGCGATTTATGCGCTTTTGGATGAAAAATCTGTGGCAATATTTGCAGTGGCCAGTGGTTGCCGAGATCTATCGACTCCAAGGCGCGACCCAATGCATGTCAAGTTGTGCACTTTCTGCACTTTCCCCCAAAAAAATGCATCGCCCTGCTCATACACTGAAAGAATGGGACTCTCACTTAGTTCGGCGGACTTTGGACATTGAAAACTGCGATGTCCTATCTTCATACTCTGCGTACGTACATATGTACAATCATTCCCGCAGCTATTTTCGCCATTTTGTCGGCATGTTCTTGGGCCAAAGAACAACATGGGAAATCGGGCATCCCCCCCCTGGATAGCCACTTTTTGCGCCTTTGTTTATTTAATTTCTCCAAATTTTCACTGCGATTTTTGCGAGCGTGCCAGCCAGCGAGACGCGGCAAAAAACGCGCCCGCGGTTATGGCCAAATTGTTGTGCGTTAGTCAGATTTTAAACGCGTGTGGTGGGGGGGTGGAGGAGTGGATTCGGATTGGGCCGGAACGGAACGGAACTCTGTTGGCCGTACAAATTACGGGATTAGCAGAGCGAGCGCGTTTTTTCCGGCGCACACACACGGCTGCCAAACTGCGGATTTGGTAGTTCCGACGGATTAGGGTTCAATGCGGTTCGCTGGCCAACATTTAATTAAAATATGAAAATTTAATGAGCGGAAACGACGAAAAAACGCAATCAGGCGGTAAAAATCGCAACAGATTTTTTGCGCCCGCGGCTAGATGCAGATTTTTTTGTTTTAGAATTTGTGGATTAAAACTGTTGCATAGGTAATTATCGTGTTAGTTTGTGTGTGTTGACATAATTAAGCTGAGTAATTCACATATTCATTGGCGCGATTTTGAAAAACGCAACGCGTTGTTCTGTGTGTTGTTCTGTTGTTTTAATAACTTAAGCTCATAAAATTATGAAAATTATGAAAATAAATATGCAAAATATTAGGCTAGCGTGGGAGTTGCTAAAATCTAATTAGCCCGAAAACGAAAAATAAATGAAAATTTCAACTGACATTTGGCGAGCGCTTCAATCGCGTTGCCAACTGCGAAAGTTCAAAGGTTTCCAAGGCGAAACGAAAAGTAAAATCCCGAGCAAACAGCTGCAAAAATGTTCTCAAATTTAATGCAAACTTAAATGAGCTCAGATTCAGATATGAATTTGCTGGAGGCGGAAATCCCCTCGCCTTATAAGTTTAGCGCATTTTCCTGTCATTTCCTCATTTTCCACTGCCACTTCCGCTTCCGCTCTCGCCTCCTCTGTTATTTCAACAAATTCAGTCGATTTGCTGCATAAACATTTCCGGAACCCCAGAGAAAACTCAACTTTTTCCCCAAATGATAACATTGTGCAAAATCAACTTCTCCACCGCTGCCTAATTGTTCTAATTAAACTTTTTCCTGCCAGCCAGTTCGCTGCGAGTTCTCGCCCAGACTTTCCCCAGTATTTATTCAGCAAATAATCAAAAAACAGACGGACAAATAAACATATAGGGGTTGCAAATTCACCATTGCACTCGGATTGGGCAAATAGAGAATCGCTGGGAGAACGCAGAGAAAGAGAGGAAAGACTCCGCCCTCCGAGAAGGAGAATGGGTTTTTGGGGTAGCTTTGGGGGCTAATGACAAGGCAGATGGGTTCACTGTCCACGAGGGTGATTACATAAGGGATTCCCGCTCCTCCTCCTTCTCGTCGGAATGATAGCTTCCCGTTCCCAGGCAGAGATATCCTGCTGATGATGTTTAACCCCTAAGTCACTTCGCAGCCGCCTTTTGTTTTAATTAACTAAGTAGCGGGGGTCGAGACTGCTGCCAGGCAGCCAAGGGGTTAAATAAGGGGTTAAAAGCGGGATAAGGCACCCAACGAGTTCACGGGAGGAAAGGGCGTGGCCAAAGCCTAATTAAAAATAAAAATGCAGAGTGGAGCCAGCACGCAAAAAAATAAAAATGGCTATATTACCATACCTGACTTTCTTTTCTGTTTTCTAAGTATCGATTCTTCCAGATATATCCAACAATCTTGGTTAATAGTTTAATAAAACTTTTATAAAAGTGATAAATATGTTTGCTATTAGGCAGTAACTTCTGCACCGAAGGTTTTCCCATTTCCCCACCTCGAATCATCAAGTGTTTCCCTTTCTTCTTCAAAACCCACCCCTCTCCGGATTCCAATTAATTACAATTACAATAAGTCATCTCATTAGACCCAGAAAAAGGAGGAAAGTGAGTGGGAGGAGGGCTGTTCGTGGTAACTGGCCAAAAGATAACCGCCAAATTGAGAAACAGAAGACTTAGAAGTGCAAAAAAGGAGAGGCGGACAAAGCAAAAAATGCTTAAATTATTTATGAGCGGAAATCGCAGGCTGAGCAGCGAACTCCCCAGCAAAACGGATGAAAGTGTTTTTGAAGCCCCGCGCTCAAAGTAACCTAGGTAGCACCCCATCCACCATCCACCCCCACCCACTAAACCTTGAGTCTTAGCGCCGGGAAACAGGATTCGTTATTATGAAAATTAGCAGGGCGCACCTAGAAGTTTGACGTGTAATAATCGAGCGAAGTACCAATTGACTCACTCAATTAAAAAAAATTAACGGACCGTTTCTCCTTTGTTGCAGGTGTGGTTCAAGAACCGGCGGGCCAAGTGGCGCAAGCAGAAGCGCGAGGAGCAGGAGCGGCTGCGAAAGTTGCAGGAGGAGCAATGCGGCAGCACCACCAACGGCACCACCAGCAGCAACAGCGGCACCACCAGCACCACCGGCAATGGGTCCATGCCCGTAAAGTGCCCCGGATCCGATCACTATTCCGCGCAACTAGTGCACATCAAGAGCGATCCGAATGGGTACAGCGATGCCGACGAGTCCTCCGACCTGGAAGTGGCCTAGGAAGGGGCGTGGCATGCGGATGTGGTGTATATATGGAACGATCGAACGGTCGAAGAACGATGTCGGGTTAGGAGGTGATTTAAGTGTATTAAGTATGTTGTGTAAATTAAAGGGAATCTCATACCTAAACTAGTTTAGTGAGCTGCACACCTATTTATTTATTGAATCTGTATACGACTGACTACTTAAACTGGATTAAATAGTTCAAAGAGCTTTGCGATAATGGTCGTTGGCTCAAATGTTTTGTTTTGTAAATAGAGAGAAACCCCTTTTCGAACACTTTTTGTTACTAGGTTGTAAGTTGATAGAAGGGAGAGCCCCGACAACCCTAGAAAATATCTTAATTATATTTAGTAAAATTGTACAGTCACCTAAATCTATGTGAGTGTGGATGTGCGCGAATGTATTGTATCAAACTAGAGCGTGAATGCATTTTGTGGTATTTGTTTCGTGTCCCGTGTCCAAGTCCAAAGTTTATTGCATCTATATACAAATCTCCATAAAGCGTATTGATAAATAAGCAAGCATACCATACTAGACGAAAGTTAAGTGTCATTCCTCCAACGATTAATTCTAATGTTAAACCTAAACTAACTTATTGAGAACCGAAAATAAAACGCAAACTCGCCAAAAGTCAAACAAAATGGCAGAAATTCGTTTAACTCTGGTTGGGAAACTTTCGATGATAAGTGGGAAGACCCGCCGAGAAGCTTTCACACCTGCCACTCCAGTAATGGGAGATGGATATGGATGTGGATATGGATATGGAGATGGAGATGCTGATCCAAGGGGGCAGGAAAATGGGAGCTGGGTGGCAAATAAGCAAACGAGCCGGCAGCGGTCAGCCTGTTAGCAGCTTCGATGGGCACTTTGATGGCTTCGCCTCCAATCAATTCGCACACAGGCACGGACCACACAAAGGCTCTGGAGTGGAGTGGCGGAGCACGGGGCAGGGAAATCCGTGTGCATCCGCATCTTCTCCGCTCCTCGGCAGATGTATCTGCATGTCCTCTGCCGGCATTTGTTGGCCATTTTCATTCTTGTATTGCGAATCGGGGGTCGTGCCAGAACAAGATGGCAAAGCCACTCAAATCATCCCCTGCACAGAGCGAATATCCAGCATGAATCACGTCGAGGTGTGCTGGATCGAGAGAACAGATACAGATGCAGTACTATGAAACGCAGTTGCAACAAAAATCAATTATATATCATTGCTTTGCCGAAGATTCGAACATTATAATAGGCCATATCATGGCCAACTCGAAGTTATAATCATAGCATTTTTCTGTCACATTTTTGCAATTTGGAGAACTGCCTCGGAATTATTCTCGGTTTGACTTACTGCACCTCCCCAACTTTTCAGCCACCCCAAAGTTGACTGACAAGTTGTCTCGTTTGGGCCGTATTGTGTCCTTTTCAGCTTGTTATTCCTCCCCCCTTTTTTCTCTTTTTGTTTTTCTCTTTGCCAAAGTTCCAGCTTGTTATTTTCCTTTGGCGAAGCCGGAGCTGCACGTTCAGGTCCATTCAGGTGAGAGACTCCGACGACTCGAATCGATGGCCAAATTTAAATTCAAATTTATTCTATCTTGACCTGACTTGGCTCGTTCTCTCTTATTTGGACCTCTGCGCCTTGGTCGCCATTTTGCGCCCAGTCATTCCTGCCTTTTATTTGCATAGGCCTATGTGATAGGATCTCGAGTTACCCGCAATCCCGAATCCCGAATTCCGAATCCCCAATCCCGAACTCGAATCCGGGATCCTGGTTCCTGGTTTCTGGCTCCTGGCTTCTGGTTTGGCGTCGGGTTTTGTTTGCCGCCCGTTAATAGTTCGTGTAAAAACCTACAAATATTTGCACTCTATTAATTTTTCTGATTCTTTTCCGAACCGTTCTCGAGTTTCCTTTGTTTTTCTAGTGCACGCTTCGCATAATTTTTTCCGTTCCCGTTCTGTATCAACACGAAATTTAATATACACGCAGACCCATTTTCTACACCCTGGCCTCCAACTCACTAATGTTACTTACAACTCCCATGTGCAGCAAACTCCAACTCCAAGTTTTGCGTGGTTTCAAATAAATGTGTACTTGTTCATACAAGCACGCGTTTAATGTTTTAATTGTTTATATATTTATTCCTATTATGATGTAATTACTAAATGTATATGGGCAAATTTGCGTGGTGTACGTATCTATATTCATGTTTCTACGTGTATTTTTGTGAGACGCGCTGTAGGAGGATATATTAATATCCATATCCATATAGCATTTTTTACATAATTTTTTTCGACAACTTTTCTGGCCCGCGCTTTGTGCATGTGCATATACATACATACATGCAGCACATGAAATATTTACCCATTAAATTTGCCTTTAATTAAATTTGCCCTCCCCGAGTTTTTTCCCATTTATAGGAGGCAAGGGAGGAGGCCGTCATTTCGTTTGTTAAAATAAAAATATTGTTAATTGCAATTTATTCACATGAACACCTCTCTGCAATCCAAATGGAAAATGGAAAAGGGCGGGTGAGCGGACAAAGTCATTTCAGTCACATTCGATTTTAATATTTCATTATTTAATGTTGCCCTGGGAGCCAACGGAAAAGCAGGGGGCTGGAAATCGGGTGCATATGCATAATGAATAACTCATTTGGAGCCGACTGAGAGATTGCGATTCATGATTGTCGGGTCCAATTCCAGCGACTAATTGGGAACGGATTGGTCTGGGCGAGGAATTACCATGGGACATGGGAGCACCGCTTCAGGGAAGGATTAAGCCCGTTCCAGGTTGCAGTGACGCAGGTGGCAGGACTGGGATTGTCCAGTAATATTCCTCTAAGTTATTTGCATCCAAAAATTACTCGTTCTAAATCCTCTTGTCGCCGAGTCCGCAACTTCTTCATAACTTAATCTTTTATGTTTTATACCAATCACTAAAACTAGGCTATCGAAAAGCCTTCGAATTTTCGCTACCTGACATATTTATTATCCTTCCTCGATCCCCGAATTTATTTGCGAGTAAATCAAAGGGGAAATGTTATACACTCTGATTAAGTTATTTTGGTTATCCAGGACATGGGAAGCATTTCGATATGATTTTTCAACCCCTCAACCAGGCCAGTCCCAGTGGTTGACCCATGTCATAGCTGCTGGCAAGAATCCTGCCGTAGATTAGCAGGTGAAGCAGGTGAGTTTAATCCATAAAATGTGCGATTATTGCGTTTATGCGGCCCGGGGCGCATTCGATATAAAATATAAACAAACGTTAGAGAAATTACAGCACAAAAGCCGAGCAAGGAGCAGCTCTCAGCTCAGCTCTCTCGCAGGATGTCCTTATATGTACAGCACACATGGCTGCTATCCCTTGAATACCTCCCCCCTCCTGCCCACTCCCGCCCCTTTGCTCCTCCGACGACCGACGCTTATTTGACTATCGATTAAAGTTTGTGGTCCTTGTGCACACAGCCCCGAGATGCGAGTGCTCGAAATAATACCGGAGAAAAGATTTTCGATTAATTTTAAATGCGCCAGTGGAAGCAATAAGATGGCAGACCAGACAGTTCGAAAGGCCAGGCAGCCGGGAACCGAAATGTAGAGAGTTGTGAAAACATTCAAAAATTGTTACAGGTATCAGTCCTTTTACTGACCCCCCACTTCTTCAATTACTCTTGAAAAAAGCCAACCGAATTTCAGTGCGCAATGTTGCGCGGCCTCATAACAGAAGATTATCCAATAGCAACCGGTCGCATGCTCATCCCCATCCTCATCTTCGTCCTCATCCTCATCCGCATCCACATCCAAGGGCCATCCGCCATGTCAACCCTCGACCGGGGATAATGAACTTTTTTGGCCATCCGAGCGTGCCGTTGGGTTTTTGAGTCTGCGGCCTGTCCGCCCGCTGCCACATCCACATCCACCTCATCCACATCCGCCTCAATTAGCTTATTGTCCCTGTCATAGTCAGCTGCAAAATGGCATCCAAGAAGGGGCGGAGGATGGGGTGGGCAGTGGATGTCTCTGGGTGGCCCTTGGCCTCGCAAAATCCACAAGGAGCTTGCCAAGGTGTTAAGCCAGCTGAGCCGGGTGCCCCCAGCACCGAATCTTTACCTCTGTCGGGCCTTTGCCGCTCCATGCCCCTGAAGGCTCTGGCTTAAGTCCAGCCAGCTTCCCTGGCCAAACCGGAAGAGTCTTAGTCGAGCAAGATACCCTCATGTGAACAGGTTCCTTCGTTGTAATTAGAATGGCACAGCTAGTTTCAGCTATACTGAAGCCTCTGCTTTCTTTGCTAGGTAAACTTCGGAACTAGCCAAGAAATGGTCAGAAATCATCTGAAATGTATAATGCATATTCGAATTTTGGAAACATTACCTAATCGTTACTTGTGCTCTTTTCCTCCATCGTGAGGACCTCGTCAGCTGTGCACTTTCCTCCTAATGGAGAGCAGGAGTCGTTCGTTGGGAATGCTCAGGATCAGGAGCCGCAGAAGTCCTGGAAATTACAGCCAGCCAGTGGGCTGGTCAGAGGCCAGGGAAGAGCAGGGAGTGGTCTTTGGTAATTGTTGAAAAGCAAAGCAAATGTTATTGCCGAACAAACAGAACTGAAAGCCGAAATCCATTCAAATCGCACAACTAGCTTGCCACTAATCCGAGCCACAAATAAGGCGTGTGCAGAGGGTAGGGGCGTGGCAGGAGCGTAGGGGGGTTCCTTTGTTGGGCACACACATGCGGAATCCATAAAAGCTAGAGCTGAGCCTGGCCAGAAAAGGTACCCGTACTCGTTTCGATTTGAATGTTTCGAATTTCACAAATGTACACTACAAAAAAGATACTTTTTTGATAATTCTATTACTCTGTTCAAATCAGAAAATGTGTTTTCAAATGTTATAAATTTTTAATCATTAATTTACAGATTCTCTTCACGAAAACCACTTTTCTATTAATCAAGACACATTTCCAGGACTAAAGTAATACAACTTCTGAAAAACTAATATTCAGTTCTAACATTTTCGTAAATAAGGCTTCCAAATATTTGTAGTCAAGTGTGGCGACCTTGTTGGGTCTTGAACTTAGCATTAACATTGACTAGAAAACAAAAATAGAACTAGAGCAGGTTTCGCACTTCAGTTTCCCCGATCCACGCAGTTTTTGCAGGAGGTTAGGAGGTGAAGTTTGGATTTGCTTTATATAAGAGTACGTTACACTAAGCAGAGAATTCGCCTAAGTTGGATTCACAAGACATCGCTAGTGATGACACTACCGCCCACTGGGCCGCCCTCGTGCTGGTGGTGATGCAGTTGCTCCACAAGATCAGCGATTCCTTCGACACCTATGCTCAAAGAGGGCAGCGACTTGTCCAGCACCAAAAGAGAGGGCGGCGTCTTGGGCTCGCCCTCTTCCATGCCAAAGGAGGTCATGCCAATCCCCTCCAGGCACAGTTCATTGGAGGATCCGACCAGCTGGGAGTGACCCCCGTAGGCCTGCATGTGGGACTGCTCCATGCTGAGAATGCAGTCCGCCTTGAAGCTGTCGATCGTGAACTGGTCCACGTCCACGCTGAGAAACTTCATCTCGTCGTAGGCGGAGGAGCCATCGGTCAAGTCCAAACTCAACGAGGCGGCGAACTCAAGACCCGGATGAAGCTGGGGATTATGGTGCTGCTGCTGCTGCTGCTGCTGCTGCTGGTGGTGATGACTCGAACTCTCGGCGTGAATCGGATCGGATGGAAGCTGTTGAGGCGGGTGCTGCTGGAGCTGATTATCGGAGTCCATCTGCGGTTGTGTCTGCGCTTGCGTTTGCGGAGGATACGTGGACCACTCCATGGAGAGGCCACTGCCACCCCTTTCCAGTCCCAGGTGGTCAATGTTGAGGTTGAGAAAAATATTCGGCGATAGCCTGGATGGCGACATGGCCCCTGTGCCGTAGGAGGCCTTTAGTTCGTTGTCAAGGGAGTTCGAGGATTGCGGTGGGGTGTCCGGCAACAGAGTTCCACCTCCACCTGAAATCAATTCTGAGTATAGTTGGGTGATAGGAACAATGATATTCTCTCTTACCCAGTGCACTATCCAGCTGACCCAGCACGGCGCTATCGTCGTAGGCCACATCGAGATCCAGGGTTCCCTCCTTATAATCTCCGCCAAGCCCACCGATCTTCTCCTGCTTGCGCCACTTGGCCCGGCGGTTCTGGAACCATACCTGCACCCTCGCCTCCGTCAAATCGATCCTTACGGCCAGCTCCTCCCGGAAAAACACGTCCGGATAGTGTGTTCGCTGAAACGCCCTTTCCAGCTCCTGCAGTTGCAGTGTGTTAAATGTGGTTCTGCGGCGATAGGGATGCTAGCGTTAGTGCACATATGGCCTTTATGAATACTTATAAGAGTAGTGCAGTTTTTGGTTGCATTCCGCGATATACTTTTGGGTATATACCTGTATCTCCGCTGCTTGCGCTTCATTGTGCCTTTGTCCATGCGAATCCTGAGCTTCCTGTGGGTGGAACTAGATTATCGGAGTGGGTGGCGATGAAGTGCCCACTGAGGTGCGGATCTCGCTCAATCTCAATATCTCCCTTGGCGAGGATGGGGCTCTTCAAGCGCGTCGTGACATAGTCGCCGTGTTTTTCTATTTTTTAACGATTTTCGTCGACACTTCGAGGGCTTCGCGTCGCTGCTTCTTCTCGCTTTTCCGCTTCGACAAATTCCACGGCGGAAAAACTGTACAACAACAACGATGAAAACACGGATGAAGAATTTGGAGAAAGAAGGCAGCTGCAGAGCTCAGCATAAGTCCGCCACCAGGGGAATCTGCATCTCCTCCGCTTCCGAGTCCCGACTTCCCTTGCTCGAGTTTAGCTTTAGCGGTTGATGGCTAGGCGATGTCAGATTGTCCAGCTGTGCATGTCAAACCTTGTGGCACGGGCAATGTTCTTGCCTCGACGACGCGAATTCGACTGAGGAGGATTTTGGATTTCCACGGGGAACAGTGACAGTGCGTGCTGTCCGTCGAGAGAAGCCGTAGAAGTCGCCCAGAGTCCACTGGAGCTCGCACACTCGCGGGCTCCCTACAAGTAAGGGTCTATACCATGTCTGAAAGGTCTGACCCGGTCTAGCCTCTTGGGCAGTCGTTCTAGCCGGGCGTGTTATGCCAGTGGCGCTGCTCCTGACCCAAGCTGGCCCAAGTGGGAGACGTAGTGAGCTCATAATTTATGGTAACAAGAGTGCGATTCGTGGTGCAAATTCGGATTCGGAGGATGTGCAAAGTTGCAATATTAAAACTTTACCACAGCATTTACTCTCTTTCTACTTTTGCATTTTGTAAAAGCAAATATACCTTAAACACGACCCTAAATCGGAAATCTACAAATAAAGTGGTTTCCTCTATTGAGGGGAAATCCGGAAAATAAAATACCATCGGAAGTACATTTTCACCAAGCCCATCACTCAAAAGTATGCTATGGAAAAAGTTTTCGGAGCAGTTTCGGAAAGCAAAAATCCAGAAACCCACCCTGGTCAACGTCATCGATGGGAGGAGATCAGATTGCCCTTTGCCTCTGTACACATGTCTGGGTCAGTGGGCTTCTTTTGGCTACTCCCACCGCCCAAAGTCCTCCACCTCTGCCGGCACTTGAGGCCTTAAAGCCATTTCCCCATTGAAAGCAGCAGAGTAGTATAAATAGCCAAGGGACTCAACCCCATCAGCCGGGCCACTTGAGCTTGGCATGGTTGCCATTGTTGTGGTGTCAACTGTTGAGTCCATTGTTCCATCCTGTCCAGGTGACGAACCGTAATGGATGCTGCTGCTCTCATCTCTGTCACAAAAGGTAATCCGAGAGGCGGCTTTTGTCCTAAATGGATATAAAAGTGTGGAGACTCCTTGGCCGGAGCCGCAAAAGGAGTACAGCGCTGGTCAGGCACAGATCGAGCAGGATGCCGTGGGTAAGTTTTATCTGGATAGAACCGAAAAATATGAAAACGAAACTCAAAGGAGGGAGCACAAGGATATACTCAGAACTGAATTCATGTTAAAACCCTCCCGTTCCAAGTTGCCCATTTCCATTACGGCGCTGGCGGCGCTGCTAAGCCTGACAAGTAAAGGAAACGCCAGTCAGTACGCCAGCGATGGAGGCTTTGACGAGGTGGTGGGTGTAAGGAGTCTGGAACAGCACGCGGAGGAGCAGCAACCTGATCGCAGTACATCAAAAGTGCTCAGTGCCCTGTTCGGATACAGTCCTAGCACTCCACATCCCACGGAGATTGCGATGGTCATGCCACATCAGCTGCCGGCAATGTACTATAACGATTTCTATGAGGATCTGCTGACCACCAAACGCAACGATGTCCATTCCGCTGGCTGCGACTGCAAAGTTACGGTTTGTTGGGCTATTCACATAGCAGCATCAGATGTTTATTATTTTATTATCATCCCCAGAACGAGCTCGTGGATCTGGGCGGTCTGCACTTCCCTCGTTTTCTGATGAATGCCGTTTGCGAATCGGGTGCTGGACGGGATCTGGCCAAGTGCTCGCATGGATCCAATTGCCGGCCACTGGAATATAAGGTAAAGGTCCTGGCACAGGCCTCTCAGTCAGATCACTCCTATTCGTGGATGAACAAGGATCAACCTTGGCAGTTCAAAACCGTCACCGTAACTGCCGGCTGCTTCTGCACAAAGTGATTGGGTGGATGTGAGCAACTATCATATGTGAATGTGAATTACTTGTATATTAAAGCGCCAAAAAGACGTCAAAGTTGCTTTATTGTGGGGGAGATTCGATATGGAACTGATTAATTTTCTTTAAGGCATTCTTTTCATTCTTACAGTAGACATTACTTAATGTAGATGTTTGAGCTTCCTCTTAGATAACTTGCTTTTGGAAATTTCGTGCCCGAAAATGTGTATTCATTAATAAAATTCTAAAAACAATGGTCATTATGGTCATTGATGTATAAGTGTCTCAAAAAAATTAAGAAATTTAAAAATTATGGAATATGTAAGCAATTATGATACGCTAAAAAGTGTAAAAGTTTAAAAACACAAGAAAAACAACTCCTCGTCAATTTACAAATATAATGTACCTTGTTGAAAGTATGTATGAAAGTATTGAGAGGGCAGTCCGCTTCGCAAGGCAGCAGGATAGTATTTACTTCCCAACTGAGTCAAGGCACTTGGACGGTGTAGTTTAAAATCGAGAGGGGAATCTACTTAGCTTATGGACGGCTTCGTTTAAATAATACAAAAAGCGAAATGTGCTTGGTATCGCATAGGCTCTTTAGGCTAAGAGCGTGACATCAGCCAAGATCCAAGACCGAGTAGTACGGTGAACAAGACTCCATAACCTTGCCTTGAAGGAGCGCCGCTCTGCAACAAATCGGATTAGTAGGTTGTCCCAGTATGATGTACTTTTTACCCACAATCACAAAGTAGTTGCAGCGATCTCCCTTGCAGCACTCATTGCAAGCCCAATCCTCGTACCAGATGTGGGTACAGTACAGCTGCATATACCGCTTCCTCTTGGACTGGCACTGCTCCTTGGTCATGCATCTCTTGGACACATAGTACTGCTTCAGGGCACCTTCCGAGAAGTACGGCTGGGATCCCCAGCGGATCTCCGTACCACAGACATTTTCAAAGGGCTCGCAGGTCTTGATGGTGTTCAGGCACTTTTCCGTGTTGCCCGTTTGGTTGGAGCACACATAGCACTCCAGACCGGCCACGAAGTTTACTAAAAATAAGTTATTTATTGGCGGGGTTCTAAATATTTTATAGGTGTGGCCCAAAGTCGGGCTTCAAAACTGAAACTCACCTTGCGAACACAAGTAAACTGCGGCGACTAACACCAAAGCTATCTCCCACGATTTCATCGTATATCTTGAGTAATTAACGCAATCGAAAGATAGCGGATAAGCTCAATGTAAATAAACGACTTAAATTAACAAACAAAACCACTCCCAAAAAACATTAGCAACAAATAAGGAGAACGTGCGTTTTGCAACACCAACAGCAACGTGCTTTGCAGCACTATCCATGCCAAGTGCTGCCACCTGTGGCGCTCACTATTAATAGCTTTAACTGGATAATAATTTGGAGACAGGTTGTTCCAAATATGTATAAACCAAAAATAGATAATAGTGCTCTTTTGAAAGACAGCAAGCTAATAGTTGCTTAATGCCGCAAAGAGCTTTGCATTTTGCTAACATGTTCCCGCCAAAAAGGCCAGATCTATCAGGTAGCAAGCCGGTTAGTCATCACTGATTCAGAGCGTTAAGTGCGCGCTACATTTTCTGCGCGAGATTGCAAAGGCATTCCGATCGGCGCCTTCAGCGGTGCTGCTCCTGGACCAGACTACTGGACTACCACCACGCCGCCATGGCCAAGAGTGATCAGGAGCTGCCCGAGGGATTTCGCCAGCTAAAGACACAGGTTGCAGGTCACACGTTCGAGGAAAGCAACTCGGAAGCAGTGGGTCTTTTGCAGGACTCGAAGGCCGGGTGCGTACTAAAGCCGCTTGGGAAGCCGGAGTGCGGCGAACGGGAACTGCGCTTTTATGAGTCACTCGCTGAGGCAGGTGCTTCGGGTGATAATGACCTCCTTGCGCTTCTCCGCGGTCACGTCCCCCAATTTTACGGCCCCCTAAAACTGGTTGTGAATCGACGCGAACGCACGTTCCTGCGCCTGGAAGACCTTACGCGATCGTACGCAAAGCCGTGCGTCATGGACGTGAAGATGGGTAAACGAACCTGGGATCCAGAGTCCTCGCCCAACAAACGAAAGCTGGAGGAGGCCAAGTACGTGATGTGCAAGCAAAAGCTGGGTCTTTGCTTGCCGGGATTCCAAGTGTATCTTCCCAAGGAGGAGCACACTCAGGAGACCACAATCCTGCGCCACGGGAAGGACTACGGAAAGAGCTTGAATGTGGAGGGATTCAAACAAACTATGGCACTGTTTTTCAATGCCAGCACAAGTGATTCCAAGAGCAGGAGAGCGGGTTCGGAGTTGCTTTTAAAAGAAGTACTCAGCCAGCTGCAGGCGATCCTATCGTGGTTTCAACGGCAGCGCCTGCTGCATTTCTACGCCAGTTCTTTGCTCATCTGCTACGATTATTCAAGACTGGGCGATCCCCCAAAGAGCCAGTCCTTGATAAATGGCTACCACCAAAATGAAGATGATCCCGCCACTTGGGTGCGTGTCAGAATGATCGACTTTGCTCACGTTTATCCAGCCGAAGAGGGCTTGCCGGACGAGAACTACATGTTCGGTCTGCAAAGCCTGATAGAAGTCGTCCAATCAATACTCCACCGATGATGATCAAAGCGGACCAAGACCACTCAAAGATGTAGTAGAAGTTCCAATCTCATTGTAATGAGACACTTTTGTATTATCGTCTAAGCCAAATGATTAGTCCACAGTAGAGGCCCACCTGTTTAAGGCTTGCGGAGCTACTCTAAACGTAGAATAAAAACAGATTTTTTAACAATTGTGTGTACTTCAAATACAATTTATGAATGGGAATATGAGGTGGAAGATGGGATTAGGGTGATGACTCATTCGAGAATATTATTTCCTATGAAATGACTCCACAGATACGTATGAGAAATTTATGTATGTCCAATGAATCGTCGTCGTATTTACACTAAATATAAATCTATCTTATCTCTTTGAAGATAATAGGTGGCATGCCAATATGATTAGAGATTATTCATGTAATCATTCAAGATCCAATGATTTTCTCTACTTTGCGGCAGAAAAAGCTAGATTTCAAGGAAAATAAAGACCAAGTGACAACAAATGAATTGAATAGTTTGGATTTATATATTGGTATCTTAGAGAATCCTACTACTAGCAGATAAGCTATTACATTTTATAGCGTGTAGTCCAATTCGTACCGCTCGTACTGGTTCTTCGGGTCATTAGTAATCCGCGGATAGCCGGCAATCAGAGCATCCTGGCCTCCAATGTACAGCGAATTGTAGATCTTCCAGTAAACGTCCCTCACTTTGCGAGCGGGATGGAAAAGTCCCTGTAGCGTATATTGCAGGATCTTAATGGGTCCCAGAGATACCCTTAACCCGTCCACGGAATCCATGAAGGCTTGCACAAGATGGGGGGACGTCTCAAAAATATTGGGCCACACGTAGTTGAGAAGGTGCGTCAAAGCATCCTCGCAGCCGAAACCATACACTCCGAGTGACATGTGCTTGATGGCAGAGCAGGCGGTTTGTCTGTGCACAAGATCTCGGTCCATTAGGGCATCTTCCAGAAGTGGACAGACGGCGTATATGTAATCCTTGCCCATTTCTCCGATGTATTCAAAAAGAAAAGAGAGGGACTTCAAAACACCATTCTGAACGTTTAGCTCGGGCACTCGGTACTCGTTCATCAAAGCAGGTAGCACGGTAAAAGGTCGACAAGACTCGGCCACGATAGCAATGGCCACTGTGGTGCACACACGGTTCTGTCGCTCCTGAACCTTGAGATTATTCAGAAGTGTAGCGAGCACGTCGTGGGGACCAATGGCCTTGGCAATGTAGCCAAAGGTGTTCACGGTGGCTCTCCTAATAGCCTTCTTGTGGGCCTTCAGCAACTCCAGCAGCTCAAAACAGATTCGCATCCATTCGCGAGCAGACACATACTCAGGTCCTCGATCTGCAATTCGTCCTACCAGGTCAATACAGTTCTCTTGCACCTTCTCGTGACGATTCTTTAGGATGGGTGTAAGACGGGGCAGTAAGTCCTTGATAGGAGGTGTCATCTTTGTCATGCCAATCACGTTTACGATGGCTTTCAGGGCTCCCAGGATGCTACCCAGTACTTCGGGATACTCCTCACCCAAGTATTCGTAAAGCACAACGCCCAAGTGTCCCATTAGCTTCTCCTCCTGACACGTCTTCATCACTACCGCTATCCTCGAGATCAGATCCGCCGCTTGCTGACGAACTTTCGCGGATTTGTTGTTCAAACGCCATAGAATGGTTCCACAAATCTGGGGCAGATAGGGTTTAACTCGCTTGCCCAGCTGATTCACGATGGTGCCAAAACCATTCAACATCACCACATCCTCGGTGGTCTGCTCCTGGAAGGCATACAGAATACCATCAATAAGCTGCTCCTCCAGGCGAGAATCGATGTCTGCTGCTCCTAGGTTGCCCATGATCTTCTCCACTGTTTCCATCACCATTTTCCTGTACTGTTCGTTCTCATCCTTTAGGTCATCCACCACACGATTGATGATCTCAGAGGCGCCCACCTTGTTGGCAATCTCAACGGTGGTGTCCACCAGCTGGCGGTAGTTACGTCTGTCCAGCGCCATGCGATGATTCCAAAAGAACTTGAAAAAGTGCGGAAGAATCTCCTCTTTGATGTACTGCGGTTCCACACCATCAGTGGCGCAACATTGCTTCACCACCTTTAATACAATCTTTTTCATTTCCTCATCTGGAGACTGGAACTCACGGATAAGAATCAACATCACTTCACGCGTATAGTAATTAGCGTACTCGGCGTCCATCAGGGGAATCAAATAGCCAATAGCTTTTAGGAAGGCGGCCAAACCTTTTCCGCGATGGGTGCGAATACCCTTCCAAAGCGGCTTCAGCACGGAATCAAAAGATTCAATGCCGTACGGAGTGGCTGCCTCTGCCAAAGCAGCAATGGCCAAGGCTGTAATTGTGCGTACCTTCTGCTGCTCGTCCACTAATCCGTGCTCGATAATCTCCACCAGAGCCTTAAGATGCGGCAATATAGCACATCCCATCAGAATAGCAATTTGCTGGACAATTTTAATGCCTGTGTGACGCGCTTGCCACGATTTTTTCGACTTGCATACGGCCTTTAAGAAGGGCAGTAAAGAGGGAATTCCCAAAGCTGAGGCGACAACGGCAAAGGCACGCGCAGTGGTGTTACGAACATACTCATCGATGTTGTCTATATCGGGTCTCATAGTGGAGATCATGGTGGCCAAACCAGCGGCCTTGGCCAGATTGGAAATGATTTCTCTGCCTTCTATGCGGGCATAGTGATCTTCGTCAATCAACAGCGGTTCTATGACCACCAAAATCTTGTGCACATAGGGTCGCACCAAATCGTCCAGTTTGTACAAAACACGGTCAATTACCTTCACTAATAAATGACGCTCTTGATCCTCCAATGTGGGCGACATAAGCAACGGAAGGATCTGGTTGAACAAAGGCCCTGCTCCGAATTCCCGTGCTTTGTCCGTAATCTGCCTCAAGGCCGACTTCCTCATTGGTGGCGAACCGTTCTTGATGGTCAGCAGTAGCTTCATTATCTTGCGCTCCTTGAGTTCCTCAGGCGACAAAGAATCTTCGTTCACGTCTACAAGGAGCTTGTCAAAATATTGCGCATCCTCTGGTTTCATGAAGGGAAGATTTTGACCCTTTGGTTGGTTATCCATGAATTTTGCATTCTTGTCCTCCACCTGGATGAAGAAACCAGCTGGAGTGCCAGCAATCGGCGTAGGTGTGGCCATTAGCTTTCTGCCGGGAGTGCGCAGTGGAACATATCCAGCTGGTGGCGGCAGAATTTTGTAACCAGGGGGAAATATTTGGTCCAGTTCTTCGTCTGTGTAAGGCCTGTTTCTCTCGTCGATCTCCTTTTCCCAGCGATAGGCTTGCAATTGCTCCGGCGTCATGGCAGCCAGAGCTCCCGCAGAAGGCGTGGCCATGGCCATTGCTTTGACTCCGATAGGAGTACTGCCTCCGGGCGTCAGCATAGGAGTAGCATGTCCCGGAGTCGCATGTGGCGTCATACTGGGAGTCATATTTGGAGTCATGGCACTAGCGTTTGTGGGCGTAATAGCAGGCGTGGCGTTGGAGGGAGTTTCATCCCAGCGAGAGCGACGTTTGGAGGCACCAGGGGTGGATTCGATTGATATGCTCTCCACCCCGGCTCCACTTCCTGTCCGATCTGGCTTTGGAGTCTCGGCCCATCCGCTGTGTCCGGGAGTCTCACGTTCCGTTTTTGGGGTCTCGTCCCAGCGATTTCGGCGGGCCGACTTCTCGTGCCCAGGCGTCTCGTGTCCTGGCGTCATAGCGTGGGCCGGAGTGGCGTCCCAGATGCGGGTGCCCAGTCCGGGAGTTGCTCCTGGCGTCTCGCTGCCCTTGTGACCCGGAGTCTCATCCCAACGGTGGTCACCGGGAGTTTTCTGCGGGATAAAATAATAAATTTAGTCATTTATTAACCATAATACTCCTCAAAATTGTAAGTAATAATGTTTTTTAGCCCACAATACTCACATCTTCCCAAGTGGGGGTAGCTGCGCTGCTTGGCGTGGCCACCTTCGCCGGGATGAAGCTGTCGCTGACCGTCTGGTCCCATCTGCCTCGCTTTCTGCCGCCGTCCTTTGGTGCAGCCAAGTCCCCATTCGAAGCTGACGATGATGTAACGGTCTTCACCAGAGTGCCCTCCTTGGTTTTCTCCAGAATTCTTCGGCGGAGCTCAGATTCCTCGCCCTTCAGCATCTGCTCCCGCATGATGTCCGTGTAAGTGCGGGAGCCCACATCCGGCGTTTTTCCGCCATCGGCAAAGGGATCCGCTCGCTCTGGGGAAATGATAATGTGCCGTCTTTTCTGCCTGTACTCATCCTCTCTATCGGCAATCGTGGGACGCTTGCGGTCTGCCATGGGATCCACATCCTCCTTGCCCTTTGTCACGTCCTTCAGCACAGAAGTTGGTGCCGTGTAGGTGGGGCGTTTCTGGGGCACAGGGAAGCCGTCGTCTTCATCCTCATCCACCTCCTCGGCATCGTTGGCCGCAATGGAGGTGTTGTACCCCTCGTAGCGCCCCTTCCCCTTGGCAGCATCATCGTCGTACAAGTCGCTGTCGAAGAATCCTCCACTGTCCAGCAATCCCACGCCGGCTGCCGCGGCAGTGGTCTTGGCCAGCTCCGTCTTCTTCTCCTGGATCACGCTGATCTGTGCCTCGATATCTGTGGAAAAAAGTCGGTGAAGATAATAATTGATTTTCGAAGGAGACCACCAGCCAGGAAAACCGGTCGATTCACAATGGTGTTTGCGGTTCCTTTTGGTGCGCAGATATAATGTTCAGGTATTGCCAATTCCGGTGGTTCTCCATCGCATGCGTTTATTTCAATTACCTTCATGTGTTCGCGGTATATTTTCCATTTTTTATAAAAACTTTACTAAGACAAGACGGCGTACATGCAAAACCAGTGTTACCAGATCGTTGAAGCGCCTGGTACCAGTATGACCGAGAACATCAAATCTATTAATACCCTGTCGACGACAATTATGTTATCGAGTGTATTGAAACTTTCGATTTCTTACATTTGACACTTTTATTCCGCCTGGAGTTAAAGATATTTTGGCCAAATACTATGCAACACAAAGTTTGATATGAAAAAAAATATTTTTATCAGGGTTTTTAAAAAAAGTACTCCATTAGAGGACTATAAAATATCGAGCAAAACTCGTGTCGACATGCTAAGCTAAATATAGCGATATATCGATAGTCGACCAGCTGAGCTGCTTGGAGATTGCTCATCACTAACGAATAAGTCGCGGCACGTGTTTACTTTTGTTTTGACCGCGAGAATGTTGGCCAAAAAACAGAAAATTCAGGAGGCGGACGCGGAGAAGCAGGCCACGCCCCACACTATACAGGCGCGCCTCATTTCGGATACGGGCGAGGAAGCGGGGCCGCCAATCGACCTGCCGGCGGGAATCACCACCCAGCAACTGGGTCTGATTTGCAACGCTCTGCTGAAAAACGAGGAAGCCACTCCATATCTGTTCTTCGTGGGCGAGGATGAGATCAAGAAGAGCCTGGAGGACACATTGGACTTGGCGTCAGTGGACACGGAAAACGTGATCGATATTGTGTATCAGCCACAGGCCGTTTTTAAAGTGCGCCCGGTGACAAGATGCACAAGTTCCATGCCGGGACACGCCGAGGCTGTGGTATCACTGAATTTCAGCCCGGATGGCGCTCATCTCGCCAGTGGAAGTGGTGACACCACAGTGCGATTGTGGGATCTTAACACAGAGACACCACATTTCACCTGCACAGGTCATAAACAATGGGTTCTGTGCGTATCGTGGGCTCCGGATGGCAAACGGTTGGCTAGCGGCTGCAAAGCGGGCTCTATAATTATCTGGGATCCGGAAACGGGCCAGCAAAAGGGGCGACCCTTGAGTGGACACAAGAAACATATCAACTGTCTCGCCTGGGAGCCGTATCATCGAGATCCGGAGTGCAGGAAACTTGCCTCTGCCAGTGGTGACGGCGACTGCCGTATTTGGGACGTGAAGCTAGGCCAGTGCCTGATGAATATTGCTGGACACACAAATGCTGTAACAGCAGTGAGATGGGGCGGAGCGGGCCTTATTTATACGTCCTCCAAAGATCGCACAGTGAAGATGTGGCGAGCAGCTGATGGAATCTTATGCCGGACATTCTCTGGCCACGCTCACTGGGTAAACAACATTGCGTTGAGCACCGACTACGTTCTGCGCACTGGTCCATTCCATCCGGTAAAGGATCGCTCCAAGAGCCACCTCAGCTTGAGCAGTAAGGCTTCGTTTAATCCATAGTGCTGTATACACTAAGAGAGATTGTTTTTCAGCTGAGGAACTGCAGGAATCTGCGTTGAAGCGCTACCAGGCCGTGTGCCCTGATGAAGTGGAGTCCCTGGTTTCCTGTTCGGATGACAACACTCTCTATCTGTGGCGGAACAATCAGAACAAGTGCGTTGAGCGCATGACAGGGCACCAGAACGTGGTCAACGATGTGAAATATTCGCCGGATGTAAAGCTAATTGCGTCTGCTTCGTTCGACAAGTCAGTGCGTCTGTGGCGGGCCAGCGATGGTCAGTACATGGCCACCTTCCGGGGTCATGTGCAGGCTGTTTACACGGTTGCCTGGTCTGCGGACTCTCGCTTGATTGTTTCCGGTAGCAAAGACTCAACATTAAAAGGTAAGCCCCTAGTTTTTGTTTACTGGCACTAGCTTATACATATCTTCTCATTTAGTGTGGAGTGTACAGACCAAGAAACTGGCACAGGAGCTGCCTGGACATGCGGATGAGGTGTTTGGAGTGGACTGGGCGCCCGATGGCTCTAGAGTTGCCTCTGGTGGCAAGGACAAAGTTATAAAGCTGTAAGCTTGAATAACGCGGTTTAATTTAACAATATACAGACTTTAATTGTATCTTTCAGATGGGCTTACTAACAAATCGTTATCTTGTACACGGTAGGAAAATTCTTAGGAATAAAGTAAGACGTCCTGAGTAAATGCCTTCGTTCCTCTTGGTCATCAAAGTACCATTTATACGCTTTGCTGTTGGATGATTCTGGCAGTTTGCTTGTAGCGACTCTCAAAGGATTCTTGATTTGAGAAGTACGTTGCGGGAACCGCTGACTCGGACTGGAGGGCCCTTTCAGCGGCCACAAAACCACCGGCAATGCACTCGTCCAGGGTTCGCCCTCGCAGCAGGGCAGTGATGAAGCCCGCGCAGAAACTATCGCCCGCTCCGGAAACATTTACAATATTGTGAACCATTGGAGCGGGATAGAAGCGAGTACAGTGTGGCGGTGTGGACTTGCTTACATCCAGGAGCAACCTGGCATCGTTTTCCGCATCCCCTCGATAGCTGAGTAGCACTCCGTGGTCACTCAGCGTAGCTATGATACAGTTGAAGTGACAGTCGATTTTTTTGATCAAGGACTTCGCTTGGTGCACAAGTTCTGCTTGTGGCTGCTTGATATCTGGATTCCATGCGACAGTTTCGCCCGTAATGGCCTCCACAATAGTTTTCAACTCCTGCAGATTCGGCTTGATCAGGCGTATATTCTTGGTCAACTCCGGCAACAGTTTGAACGGTTTTCCGGCTATGAACATATCCGTGGGCTCGAAGAAGACTGGAATCTTGTTGATTTGCGCCTGTTGCAGAATGCTGGCCATTGCCTGCTCCGATATGTTGCTGTCCATGATGATGAGAGGAGCTTCTCGGAAGAGTTGGTGGTGCGCTTGAAGGGTCTCGGCTGTAATGCTCTGGTGGATTTCCATGTTGCCCAAAATCAGCTTGCAATCTCCAAATTTATCGAAGATTAGTGAGCACAATGAGGTGTTATGGTTGTCTGCCACAATTAGGCCTCGCTTCAGCGCCTTTGGCATCATCTGGAGCAGCGTTTGTCCCATCTGATCATTTCCCACGGCGGAAATTAAGTTCACATCTCCGTACAGCTTGTATATGCCCTCGGCTATGTTCCGACCCACTCCCCCAGCCGCCTGTTTAGCTACCGCGGAGTACGTGGCTCCATCAAGCTTCATGTCTCGTTTCTGGTCGTCTACCTTAAAAGAAAGATCCAGGATGGATGCGCCCACAACTAGTGGCTTCTTATCGATTGCTTTTTGGACGGAGCCCTCTAGTTTTGCGGACACGTCGCAAAGGGATGCGGCAATTTGAGCAGCCACCTTTGCATTGTTTTTAATCAGAGCTATGTTTGACTTAAGGCTCCTTCCTTTTGTAATTTTGGCTATGGCGGCCAGCAGGAATGGAGTTACCTCCTTGCCGGAAATTCCCTGAGACTTGGCTTGGGCAGTTGCTTCCTTGATGGCCTTCTCTATTTTGAATTTATCTGCAGCAAACTCTTCCGGAATGGGAACACCAATTACCAGGCCTGATTCCATTTTCAATTCTTGCCAAGATCGTAGCAGCTCTGCTGCCTCCTGGGCACTCTTAAGGTTATAAGGCACGGTGCAGCCACTGTCCCGTGTGTAGAAATCCGGAAAGACACCACCAGGACTGTCGAAACTAGCCACACACACGCCCTGCGTCTCCAAAAATTCCAGTGTGCGGGGAATGTCCAGGATGGATTTGACACCGCTGCATACCACGGCCACCGGAGTGCGTCCTAACTCGGTGAGATCGGCAGACACGTCCAAGGATTCGTGGCCATCGCGATGGACCCCGCCAATTCCTCCAGTGGCAAACACGCGAATTCCTACTCGATGGGCAATGATCATTGTGGCGGCCACGGTGGTTCCACCACTCTGTCTTCTGGACACCACAAAGGGCAGATCTCGACGGGAGCACTTTATCACCTGATCCCTGGGCTTCTCGGCAAGCGTAGTCAGCTCCTCACGAGTTAGGCCGACCTTAATGCGGCCGTCCAGGATGCCAATGGTGGCGGGAATGGCCCCATTTTGACGAACTTGCTCCTCCACCGCCAGCGCCGTAACTACGTTTTCTGGCATTGGCATCCCGTGGGTAATGATCGTGGATTCTAGGGCCACCACCGGCTTCTGCAGCTGCAGCGCTTGCCGGACCTCGGGGTGAAGCACAATGTGGTCATGCTGGCGGTGCAAACTCCGGCGCACCAACCGCACGGCGGGAAACGGGAGCAGGAAACATCTCCGGAGCAACATCGAAATCAAATCAAAACAAATCAAACGCACGCCTGCTGATCCTACGGTGCTGCGCAACGTGACCGTTTCTAGAGGTAACGGATTTTTATAGCTAGATACTAGCTAAAGCAGGAGGAGCTCTTTGGAGTAACTTTCGATAAGTGGCTTTCGATAAGTGGCTTTCGATAGATATTTATCAACTTGGCCGCGAATATTTGAATTTTATCAATACTGTAGGGGCTTGATTTGACCCTTGAGAGGATCCAAAAACTTTATTCAGCAGCAGATATTTATTTGCAGATATTATTTGATTAAAACGTGAATCAGTCCAATAGTTAAAACCAAATTGTTTAGTTGTCAGAATACCTAATTCTGTATTCTGGTTGTCTCTTTAAATTGAAATTGTTAGGACAGAATAATATATTAAAAGAGACTATTTTTAAAGGAATACGGCATCAACATCTGAAATGTTTCGAAAACAGCAAATATCTTGGATTAGTTCTGAAACCGTAGATATACATAAGTAAACACTTAAAATAAATATTTTTTTTAATTGACAACAATGGTTCTAGTTTGCAATGCATTTCTGAATTTATTATTCTCTCTTATCAAACATCCCACATTGCGAGATTCTGCGACCGCAACCAGGAGAAAAGTTCGCATTCTATTTAAGGGACCCGTCCATTCCCATTCCCATCCTCATCCCTATCCCATGTACCATCATCGGACCCATCCCACTCCTATCCCCATCCGTATCCCATCCCGAGAGGCGTCTGCGGTTCAACAGCCGCTTGGGCATCGCCTCATGCCGAGAATTCGCACAAACTAAACTGAAGAAAGGCAAACCGAAGGCATCGGCATAGGAAATGTGGAGCTATTTTTAAGCACTGGGGCGACATTTTTCTTGTTTTCTCCCCGACTCGCCTGCGAAAACACACAAAAATTTGCGAAAAAAAGAGCAAGCCGCATGATATTAATAAAAGCAGCGCTGCTGCTGCGATGGATTTGTTGGATTCGGGTGGTTCTGCTGGCGGTGGGCCCGTCCACTGCATTCGTGATTTCGGCCGTGGAGTTGCACATCGTGTCTCTGTAGCTGGCCAACGGTGAGGTGACTTCCTGGCCATTTTATGTAATATACATGCGGTAGCTAACGAACGAATCCTTCTCCCCCGACCAGATTTCAACATGAATGTGGAGAAGCTGAAGCGTCTGCAGGCCCAGGTCCGGATCGGCGGCAAGGGCACGCCCCGTCGGAAGAAGAAGGTCATGCACCAGACGGCGGCCACCGACGATAAGAAGCTGCAGAGCTCTCTCAAGAAGCTGTCGGTGAGCACCATCCCGGGCATCGAGGAGGTCAACATAATCAAGGACGACCTGACCGTGATTCACTTCAACAACCCCAAGGCGCAGGCCTCTCTTTCGGCCAACACCTTCGCGGTCACAGGTCACGGCGAAACCCGGAAGGTGGTCGAAATGCTGCCGGACATCCTGCCCCAGCTGGGCCAGGAAACGGTCGTCCAGCTGCGGATGTATGCCAATGCCATGAACAATCAGAAGGGGGCGCCAGGCAGCGGAGTAGGACCTCTTCCAGCGGAGGAGGATGACGATGTGCCCTTGCTCGTGGGCGATTTTGATGAGGTGGCCAAGGTGGAAGCGACCAAGCAGCCGGTACAGGAGCCCAAGGAATCTGTGGATAACAAGCCAAAGGAAAAGCAACAGCAGCAGTCCAAGAAGGACCAGAAGCAGACCCCGAAGGTTCCGGAGTCCCCCAATCCCAGCGAGATACCCAAAGATAAACAGGAAAATAAGAAGGGTCAGGCGAAGAACAGCAAGAAGAGTGATCCACAGGGCAACAAGGACAAGCCAAATAAAGGCAAGGACCAGGCCAAGGTTCAGCCTGCTCCCCAAACCAACAAGGAAATGACACAAGCTGCAAGGAATAATCTTCCAACCCCCGCGGTAGAGCCGAAAAAGGATCAAGTGCTTGCTGTTGACCAAAAGATAGAAGCCAACGCTGCGATTCAAAAGGCGGAGCAACCTAAACCCGCTCAGACCAAGCCCACTGACCCGAAAGTAGAAGCTAAATCGGCGGAGAAGCAGGTGGAAAAAGCAAAACCCATTGATCAGTCCAAAACCAAAGAGACCAAGGTGGAACAACCGAAACCAACTCAGAAACAAGTAGATGTGAACACCCAGCCCAAGCCCACTGCAGATGGGAGTGAAGATAAACCAGCGGTACCAACCCCAGAACCCCAGAAATCCGGTTCAGCACAGACTTCGGGAAAGGCGCCTACCCCTCCTGCTGTCCAGACTCTCGCCCAGATTGTGGCTTCAGAGCCCGCAAAGCAGGGAAGTCCTGCAGAGAAACTAGCCAACGAAGCGGCTGCCGCTCCTAAAGCTGAGGAGCAGAAAAAGGATTCGACCTGTCCAGCTAAGGTGGAGCCAACTCCATCTCCATCTCCATCTCCATCTGCACAAGTCCCAGTCACCACTGCTGAGCCCCCCAAGAGCGCTCTTAAACAGGATTCACCTCCAAAGGCCGCTCCCAAGCAGTGTTCTCCACCCAAGAATGTTCAAAAGCAGGAATCACCAGCACAGAGTGCTCCCAAACAGGATTCAGCGCCTAAAAGTGCTCCCAAACAGGATTCCCCACCAAAGGGTGTTCCCAAGCAGGATTCAACCCCCAAAACTGCTCCCAAACAGGAATCACCACCACAACAAAAGACTCCACCACCAGCTAAACAGGATGCACCACCTGCAGAAGTGGCTAAAGTTCCAGCTCCAGAAGGTTTAAAAACGCCAGTACCAGAAGTCACCAACGTTTCTCAGGCACCTCCACAACCTCAAGGTCCGGCTGCACTCGCTTCTGAAAAGACAGCGGATACGCCAAAGGCAATTGAAGATCCGAAGGCTGCATCCAAGAAGCAATCACCACCACCCACTAAGCCAGTGACGGCCCCAGTTCCGTTGGCACCTGCCACTCCAGCTGAGCCGCCATCTCCTTTGGCTCCGTCCACTCCGCCATCGACTCCCACATCCGTGCCACCATCTGCAGCGGCAGTGACCCCCCCATCTCCCGCCACGGTGACTCCTCCATCGCCTGCTGCAGTTACTCCGCCTCAGAAACAGGCGGCGGCTCCCCAAGCGAGCATTAAGAAGCAGGAGGCAGCACCGAAGCCTAAACAGCAGCAGCCAGCCAACAAGCCACAGCAGGCGCAAAAGCAACCCCCAGGAGGAGCAGGTGGATCAGCTGGACCAGGAGGGAACAAGGCCGTGCAGAAACAGCCGAACCCCAATGCCAATGCCAAGCCAGCAGTTGCTCCAAAGCCAGCCCCGTCTACTCCAAAACCAGCTGCTGCTTCTCCAAAGGCACCCCCCAATCAGGCAAATGCACAACAGCAGGGCAAAGCAGCAAGCAAAGCCTCTCCTCCAAAGCAAACTGGACCAACTGGAGGGCAGCAGAAGTCAGCGGCGAACGCCTCGAAGGCCACACCCTCCCCGAAATCGGCCGCCTCCCCAAAAGCTACCTCCCCGAAGGCTGGAACTCCTTCCAATCCGGCTCCCGCTTCTGGAGGTCCTAACTGATCCTCCTTCAATCACTTTTTTAATCGGCTCCCTTGCATTTCAAACTCACACGCATTTTCAGACCCCATTTTCGCTTTCGCTAGTCTCTTATGAATCCGGGTACTAACAGTTGGTTTATAATTTGTGGCCTTTACATTTTTGAATAAAATTATGATTTAACAAGAACTTAAGAGACTCCATTGCCAATTTACATCAAACTGCTTTTATTAATCACAAAATCTGTTTTTGAATAATACGATTCTTTAATTTAACATATAATAACATATAATAGTGAAACGTAACATATAATTTTGGAACGTGCGACAGCAATTTATGCTTTGAATTTACCGCCCACAATGAGGCACTGCCTATCGATATCTCATCCAACTAGCCCAGCCCTGGTTCGATAGGTCGTAAAGCCCTGCAAATTGAACAGAATGCCAAAACTACTCGATTTACGTCCATCCTGGGCCTAACTTGGCTTAGCGTGGCTGCCAGAGGGCTTCTCGTCATCCTTGGGCGACTTCTCCTTCTCCGGGTTCAGTTTCCAGATGGCGTAATTCAGAGCAGTCGCGAATCCCAGCCAGGCTACGTAGGGTACGAAGAGCAATCCAGCGGTCTTGTTCACACGGTAGAATAATACGCCGCAGGCGGACGCGGCAGCCGTGAGTGCGACTATGTCAATAAGGCCCTGGTGAATGAAGTGGATTAGACATAACACCCAGGCTTGGTGATATCAGCACTACTCACGCCCTTGATGTTGTGCTGCCCGAAGAAGATGGGCGTCCACGCCCAGTTCAAGGCCAGCTGGGTGCCGTACGCGATCAGGGGCAGTTTGGCCGCCTCGCCGGTGAATCCGCCGCCATCCCGCCACACCAGGTAGGAGCCGTAGCCCATTCCGGCATACAGGGAGACCCACATCGGTGCAAACACTGCGTTGGGCGGCTTGAAGGACGGGAACTTCAGGTTGGCGTACCAGCTCTGGATGTGCTGTCTGGTCAGCCGTCCGTTGTAAATGCCGCCCAGATTGGGCAGGATTACGGCCCCAGCGATACGGAGAATGTTTCCAGCACACGGACGATCAGCCATTTTCGGAGTTCGCACTGCTAATGAGGCGCAGTAGAGGCGAACCTTCTGGTTTCACTGTTTTGTTTGCCGGTGATTTCATTCGAATGCACGAGTATTGCGTGTTAACAGGGCGAATACGCGACGCATGATTGTATGGGTAAGCTCCAGCGATGGCAAATTGGCTAGTTTCAAACTAGCTATAGTACATATGTGGAAAGCAATTTTATTCTTCGTGTTTATTTACACAATCGTCTCGTGATATATTTTACGTGCTAACTATGTATCTGTTAGTATGTACATATGTACATATGTTCATATCTGGCTTTTTGGCGAAGTCGCAGTCATTATTAAAGTCGTTAATAGTTGCTTGTCACATGTGTAGGAGAGCATCAAAATGCCTATCAATAGATTCCACATAATAACGTAATAAATGAGTAATTTGTTTGATCTACGGAATTAATGATTGTAAATTTATCTAATTATTATATTATCTTCGTTACTAGGTGCCGGAATCACCCTGTGGACTATCACATTTTACAAAACCCGTTATGTTTTGAAAATAAGAACTGTGTGTTTACTTATGGGATGTACCAGGTTGAATTCTCTAGAAAATGTTTGTTTATTTCTACCCCTGGAAAAGAAGTGCGATTAAATGATGCTTTATAAGTTGCTTGATAAGCAAAAAGTTATTTGTCGGTAAGTGAATTAATGGTGAAATAAAATAATTTTACTTATTTAAACTTTTTGTATTCTTTAAACACCTGGAAATAGTTGGGATTTCACATAATCCATTACTAATGAGCTACCATGACAACCGTTGCTAGACAAACACATTTTTATTCTGTTTTGTCTCCTGCCGAAAAAGTTCACCCACTAAAGGTGGTAAACCGGCGTGATGACACTTTACTTTGACACGAAAATCGAGTTCCTGGACTCGGATGCAGTCAGCACCATCAGCAGCTGGCATCCCAGTGAGCCGCTCTTCGCAGTGGCCTCATTTAGTCCCGAAAGAGGCGGTTCCGTGACCATTTTTGCGGATACCGTGAGTACTTCGAGTCGGAGACCTTATTGTAGCCGACCCTGCCAAAAATCTAAACGTATATAATTCGGAATATCGTTTGCAGGGTGAGCCCCAGCGGGATGTAACGTATCCGGTGCACGCCACTTCGCAGGCTACTGCACTATGCTGGCATCCGGAGAAGGCGCTTCTGGCCAGCGGTTGGGAGCACGGGGACATCCATGTGTGGTTCGCTGGACACAGGGAGTTTGCCAGCGTGAACGCACCCCACAAGGCGGCCATAGTCCTGCTGCAGTTCAGCGAACAGGGTGGGCGGATGGTCACGGCGGATGCCATGGGCCTGGTCACAGGCTGGCGCTGCGATGGCCAGTACCAGTTCTTGACCATGTTCTCACACGACTTGCGGGAGGTGTTGCTGCTGATCTGCTTCCGCCTAACGGTGGAGAGTGAGGTGCGCGAGGAGATGGCCAATCTGGCCAAGGCTGCAGTGGCAGGTGATGAAAATGCGCTGGACACCCTAACCAATTGGAGACCCCGCACAGCAGCACGGAGCATGACCCACTCGGGAGTTAGGGACAACCACTGCTTCTACGCTTGCACCCAAGGAGGAGTGGTGTACTACATCAACCAAGGAGGCGCCTGTGTGGAGGTGATGAAGTGCGGCTCACTGCCTCCCATTGTCCAGATGTTGTGGCACCCAAAAAAGTAATGTGCTGCTAGGGTCTGAGGGTCAAATCTGTGCCTGAACCCTGACTTTATTCCATTGTAGGGACGCCGTCATTTGCCTGATGGAGGACTTGACAGTCACGCTGTTCTTGGTTGAATCCACGGGCATTCTCACGGAGCTGGATCGTGTGAAAATGAGCGGACGTGGAGGAGGTCGGCAGGGAGGCATCGCATGGTCGGGAAACTCTCTGGCTATAATAACAGGTGGGAGATATTATCAGATTACCAGATTTCAGATGTGCTAAATTTCAGTCTTACCTTCAGGCGATTTTTTTGTCCGCATTTGGGACATCGAGAGAAGCGACAATTACCTATTGAAAATGGATCTACCCAGCGGCAACCAGCCAGGTTCATCATTGACCACTTTAAGTAATGGCACCATGTCGTCGTCCAACCAATTCTTTAGCCATGACAGCAGCGAGAGCAGCAGTGTGCTTCGCAAGACACCGAAATACGGCCAGATGAACGGAGAAATATTCACATGCTTGGCATATAGCTCTACGGGACAGACCCTGTGTGCAGGAACATCTCAGGGGAATGTCTACACCTGGAAGAGGAGCGGCAGCAGACTAGTCGGTGCCCCTGAAGATGCCTGGCAACTGACGAACATATCTTCTGTGAGAGGAGCCATCCGCAGCTGCGAGTGGGGATACAATGAGCTTGCCAAGCCCTGCATGCTGGTCAACTGCCTTTCCAATGTTTTCATGCTAAAGGAGCAACCTCTACTCGCCGTTCATACTCGAGAACTCTGGGCAGTTCAGAGGTCAGCCAAATCAGTGCAATTGACGCACTGCAGCGGTCGCGAGACCATAGTTCAGTCCGAATTCGCAGTGACTGCCATGGCTCTGAGTGAACTTAGTTTAGTGATGAGTAATGGGAGGAGCATATCGTCCTACAGCCTGCAGAAAGTGGAGAAGAGCTTGGATGAGTTTGATGAGATCCTTCAGACAGTGGAGGGCACTACCCCCCCCACGGAATCTACCACCACTCCGTTAAGTCTTAAACTCCTGCAGACCTTTCCTGCCGAGTGTTTATCCTTGAATCTGTTCAACCAGAACATATTTTGTCTGGGGAGCAGTGACATTTTTGTTTACTCCGTGGGAGGAGTAGTGCTGCACCGCATGCAAGCCAGTGATATTGAAGGAAAGATCATCGGCATGGATTTGAGTGGCTGCTATCTCTCGGTGTTTACCATGAATGGATATGTGAAAGCTTACGATGTTTCTAGGCACGATCCCAAGCTGCTCTTTCCCAGCAAATCCGGTCACGACATCTTCGATGACTTCGGGGAGTTCATTCTGGTCAAGTGCAACAGCTCGGGAAGCCACTTGGCCATTGTGATAGCCAGTAGCAATTTTACCCCTATATCCACTTTATTCTGCTGGGACTTTGAGCGCAGTAATCTTCTTGAGTATGCACTTCTGGAGCAAGAAACCAACTCCAAGAAGGAGTCTTCAACAAGTCTACCGGTTCGGATTTTCTGGGATGCAGAGGAACCTCGTATCTTGGCTACAGAAGTCAGGTCCATGATTCAGAAGACCCTGCCCCAAAAGAACTCCTTCCAACCCAGTCATTTCGTGCAGTCAAAAGTCGTCCTTTTGTTTTATTCAGAGAAAGGCTGCCTGAATGTCCTTGAAACACAATCCATGAGCCCAGGCTCCCAGTTACTGAACCTGTGTGTACCCAACGTGATCCGGCTGAGGATCAATACGATGGAGGAACAACCTCTTCAAGACTTCGTGGACCTTCAGCAATGCAATCCAGTTACGAGGAAGCAAGTCCTGAATTTCAGTCTCTATGTGGCAGAGGGAAATATGGATCTGGCTTATCGCAGCATTCGCTCGATTCAATCAAAAGTGATCTGGACCAATTTGGCTAAGATGTGCGTGCACACAAATCGCTTGGACGTGGCTAAGGTGTGCATGGGCCACTTGGAGCAAGCCCGCTCCGTCCGTGCATTACGGCAAGCCATTGAAGATGACGATCTGGAGACGGAAGCCAAGGTGGCTGTTTTGGCGATAGAACTCGGTATGATTGAGGAAGCCAAGGATCTTTATCGTCGCTGCAAGCGCTTCGATTTGCTCAACAAGCTGCTCCAGTCCATTGGTCACTTGGATGAGGCAGTAGAGCTGGCCGAGACCGAAGATCGGATTCATCTGAAGCACACTTACTATCAAAAGGCACAGGAGTTGCGAGAGAGGGGTGACATCAAGGGAGCTCTGGAATACTTTGAAAAGACACAGAGTCCGGCGCAAAATATTACCCAACTGCTTATGGAAAATCCTGGCGCCATGAAGCGCTACATCCAGACCACCAGCGATCCCAAGCTGCTTAAGTGGTGGGGCCAGTATATTGAGAGCTCCGGCGACATGGATGCTGCTCTGGCTGTCTACCACAAGGCGGAGGACTGGTTCTCGCAGGTAAATTATTAGGGCTCTAAGATACCACGAAAAGCTAACATCCTGTTCTTCTCCAGGTAAAGATACTTTGCTACCTAGGTAAGATCTCCAAGGCAGACGCGATTGCCAGGCAGTCGGGGGATCGCGCGGCATGCTATCACTTGGCGAGGCATTACGAGAACGTGGGCAAGTTCCAGGAGGCCATCATGTTCTTCACGCGTGCCCAGACCTTCAGCAATGCGATCCGCATCTGCAAGGAGAACGACTTCCAGGAGGAACTGTGGACAGTGGCCAGTTCCTCAAGGCAGAGGGATAAGGCTATTGCGGCTGCTTACTTTGAAGAGTGCGGAAACTTCAAGCACGCCGTTGAACTTTACCATCGGGCTGGGATGCTACACAAAGCCCTCGAGATGGCATTCGAGTCTCAACAGCCAGAGATCCTGGAAATTATTGCCTCTGACCTGGCGCCCGAGTCTGATGCCGAGTTGATCCATCGCTGTGCGGATTTCTTTTGCAGTATCGAGCAATTTCAGAAGGCTGTGCATCTGCTAGCCAAGACCAGACATCTGGAGAGAGCCTTGGGCATATGTTCTGAGAAGGGCGTGCCCGTCACGGAGGAATTGTCCGAGATGCTTACTCCGGAGAAAGGGGAGTTCGAGGAGGCGACTCGAGTCCACATTCTGGTACAGCTGGGCGAGCTCCTGCAGCAGCAAGGTGACTATCACAGTGCCACCAAGAAGTTCACCCAGGCTGGTGACAAAATTCGGGCTATGAAAAGTCTTTTGAAATCAGGCAACACCGACAAAATTATTTTCTTCGCTAATATGTCGCGGCAACGTGAGGTCTACATCATGGCTGCGAATTATCTTCAAGCATTGGACTGGCAATCGGATCCCCAAGTGCTCAAGCACATTGTAACTTTTTACACAAAGGGCCAGGCCTTTGATTCGCTGGCCAATTTCTACGCCATCTGCGCCCAGATCGAAATTGAGGAGTTCCAGGACTACGGTAAGGCTCTGACCGCCATGCAGGAAGCCGCCAAGTGCTTGGAGAAGCTCAGCCACGCCCAGCACGTCTACAACAACCTACAGCGCACGGTGGCGGATGTTAAGGCAATCCTAGAGATCCAGCAGGCGTTGCGAGAGGGCGATCACCAGCTGGTCATTGGATCCTGCCGCAGCATGCTGAGTAAGTCGCTGCCCTAAAATCTGCCCAACTTCCCCACTTCAATTAACCCCTTCTGTTTTCACACTTAGTTAAACCCGAACTGCCGCCCATCCGCCACGCCCATATCTTGTCCATGCTGATCCGAGCCCTGGTCTACGTCAAGGAGTATTCTGAGGCGGGAAGAGCTTTGAAGGAACTGACCGTCAAGGACAGCACATGGAGTGCCTCAGGGCTGTTGGATCGCGGCATTGTTCACAAAATTGCGCAGGAGTGCGACTTGGAGTTCGATCTCATCTGGAACGCGGGACGCCAGGTGACCGCCTCGACAAGCGGCACAGCCGTCACTGGAATGAGCAGCACTTCTGGCATGACAACTACTGATGATGACGAGGCCGATGACGAGGAGATCACCGAGGAGCTGCATTAGATGATTTGTGGGCGATGCAGAACTACTAGTCACGGCTCCGTTGCGCAGAGCGGATGACACGTAAATAGGCAAAGAGTTCCCTTTAAAAGTGATAAGCAATGACTACTATTTGGCTCCATAATACACAGCTATGTATATCAATTATACAACCTAGAATTACTACCATCATTTAATGGAATGCTTCAACCAGACAGCAGAAATGACGGATGGAAGCAGTGGAAAGCACCTTTTCTCAAAAGAACTTTGAGCTAACGTTACACCGTTCACAGTTCCCAATCGAAACGAACAAGTTACGTACACACTATACATATATACGTATAGTATTTCGCAAGATGGCTTAAATGTATATTGTATGAAAGCCCCTTTGGGCCATTTGGGGTTTTATGAATGAACTGCATGATATACGCAAGCCTAGTAAAAGCTTTCCGCTCGAAAACATACGTATGTACGTACCATGTGTATGGGTTCAAGTGACCGACGTCACATCAAAGCAAATATAAACAGCGATATGGATTTGGATCGGCGGATCTGCCGGCGCCAGTCGGAAAGAGCAAGAGAGGGAGAGAGCGGCCCATACGTGAATCACTTGCCCAAAAGCGTTCGCGTGTTGAGCTATGTATGAAATCAGAGTAATTTCCAGGAAGCCGCTCGAGCAATCGGCCATCTGATACGAACTATATCGAAAACGTCACCGTTACGTCAAGCTGTTTGATATTTAGATCCATTCCTTATATGGAATATGGAATGGTTTGTTTTTATATGTAAATACTGGCCCTTAACTGCAACCTGTCGCTAAGTAAAATAACTTTTCTTGAGTACTAGAACGCTTTTATCTAATCCATCCATCCTTTGGTAGTGACTTAAATAATTATTATTTATAATTTCATACTAGAATTACGTATATCTTATATCTATAAGTACACCACTCACGCGACCTGTTGCCAAATATCGGGACAGAGATAAACTTATATACAAGAGGCATGGCATGGGCCACAGACAACTAACGACTCATGTCCGATTTCCCAGAAGGATGACGCGGCAAAAGCTAGAAAACAAGTCCAAATGGGAGGGGAACCGATGAATGAATTTTTGTTGGCCGCCAAACGACCTTACACCCGAGCCACCCCCTGTAGCCCACGTACCGGCTGGGGAACTCCATCGGCTTCCCAGTGATCGGAGATCAGTGTGCTCAATGGTGACTCACTCGGACTACGCCAGCTCCACGACGTCATGCTTAAGGTTGTTATTTGCCCTGCCAGCGAGCCAGCGAAGAGTGGATACTCCGGAGAGCGAAAAGCTCGCGACCCGAGTGGCAAACGGCGCCGGCAAACTGGTCCCGAGCAGCAAGTGCCCCTCGGAGCCAGCCGGTTGGTCATGGGGCAGCCGAGTCTGCGAGAGAGCGCCAAAAGCTCGTGGCCCCGCGACTTCGTCATGGCTTTATCACAGTCCGCCGGTGCTGATCATTAGTTCGTCATTCGGCAAGTGGGTCGGATCAGGGCCAGAGCGATCCAATCGAAGATCGGCGATCTGGAGTGGTATACGGCGCTGCACTTAACCCGATCGGCGGATCTTTAATCGGTCAGTGCAATAACGGTTATTAAAAGTTTCTAATCGCAAACTTTCCGCGAAAGATTTCCGCGATTTGCGGCACGTGGAGAGCCTGCAGCTGACTCCACTTGTCCGGTCAGCAGGTGAAATACCCTGACTATCTCGGGTGAATCATCCGGTCGGACGTACCCACATCCTAAATACGTTTCAACCGGTTGCAGTGCCGCCTGCAATAAGTTCAATAATACAGAAGTGCGATTCGCAGAATATTATGATTAAACAGGGCCAAAGTGAAGTGAATAATTTAATAGCGCAAAGGGCAGCAAAACAATAAATTCACGAAAAGATATATGCAGTGCAGTGTAATTACCAAAAATCAAGGCGGTATAACAAAATCTTAGTGACGGTACACCCAACTCGACTTATGAAATTCAAACCTCAAACCAATGAATAAGATGAATTTAGATGCCATCCGATAAGGTTAAAGGAAAGTGTAATTAAAAAGCTATCAAAACTTCAGCTGATATTGACACTGTAGTTGCCGAAAAGGGAGCAGGAACTTCCCAGTTTAATGGCCATTCTGCAGAATAGTCGCCAGAGTCACAAGCAACTCAAAATCCACATCCAGACGATTCACAGTGTTTGGTGCCAACAGAGGCCGATTAATGCCATGCATCAGGATGTCCGGCAAAAAAGCATCGGATCCGAAACCGGGGCCAAACTGGAAGCGAAGGAGAAGGAAGTGGGGGCTGAGAAGGAAGGTTTCCCCAACCGGAAAAGACGCGGAAGGCGATGTAGCAGCAGTTCCACCAGCGACTCCAGCCAATCCTCGGATTCCTCAACAGACTCGGACTCCGGGTCATCCTCCAGCAACAGTAGCACAAGAAGCCAATTACCCGCCCTCAACTTGCCAGTGCCCCTCCCGCTGGCGACACCCACTCCTCCCGCCGTTCCAACGCCTCACCAGGCTCCATCGCCTCGCAGGAACTCCAACGACTCCAACCGGAGCATCTCTCCCGTGGAGGTGCCTGTGGATCCGCACGCTTGGACGTCCGAGGACATTGCCAGCTGGGTGAAGTGGGCGACGCGAAAGTTCAAGCTGGACCCGGAGCCGGATATCGAAAGGTTTCCCAAGGACGCCCAGGAGCTGTGCGATCTGTCTCGCGCGGACTTCTGGGTCTGCGCAGGATCCAGGCGCGGAGGCATGCTCCTGGCGAAGCACTTCGCGCTCAGCCTATACCACGCCACCGGACGGGAGACGAGTCCCATGCTCAACGACAACGAGCCAAGTAAGTACCTAGACGGAGGTGTTGTATCCCTCAGTAGCAAGCGATCAGGAACTGGCCAACCCCCCACGCGTCACGACTTTCACATCGAACGAAACTAGTTGGTTGGACGCACATTTTTTCACTGTCCAAAGCTAATCTCGGGCCACATAAATCTGAAGCGTCCAGAGATTGAACTGCTTGGTAATTGGGTTCACGTGCTATTCCCAGCGGAGCGATTGTCCGACTCTCGAATCCTTTGTGGTCAGGCATCAATTGAATCCTTTTGGCCTCCGTCGGCAGCCAAATGGCCACTGATTAAGATGCTTTGGTGCTGATACGGCCGTTACTTATGTGCTCCATTGATTGTTTCTCCCACACTCCCCCGAATGTGTTGATAAGGAAGAAAAGTGGAGGTGCGGGAAGTCCCCTTTTAATTACCTCTCGCCCGAGTTGGCCAACTTTCTCTCAGACTCCATTAACGTAAATCGCTGGGAAAATCTCTGCGCGACAGCAGCAAAGTATGCAACACTTTTCCAGTTATTAACTGGGGATGACTGGGAACGGGAAGGCGGGGGCGTGGCAGGGCCTTGTGGGTGGTCGCGTCAAGTGATGAACTTAATAATAAACGATGTAAATATGATAATTTCTCGCAGGATGTGGCATCTAATAATAAAATCGAAATAATCCCGCGCCAGCGACAAAAGTCGCCAAGTCAAGTTTCAGCCGGGCGAGAAAAGTGGCGTGAAGGTCCGTGGTTGGAGGTTTGGAGGGTTGGGTGCCTTGGATGGCTTGGCTGGCCTGGGTGGCTTGTCAGTGACAACAGCTCTGCGGGTGGTCAGCTTCTGGGCACAGGAAAATATTCATTCGTCGCATCCTTCCTGTGGCAGGAAGAGCAGCTGGAGGCGGGGAAAGCCCCTGATTTGGGTCTGGCATATGTTGGTGGGTGGGCTGTGGACTACATATACATGCCTTGATCCCGAGAGCAGGCGACGTCGATTTAATTGATTTGTTTTTTATGCCAACCAGGATTACGCGTCGTCGCCGTCACGCAGATTACATTTGTTGTGGGCTGCAGTTGTTGTTCCCAACTCCCAGCTCCCATGTCCCGTGAGTCACCGCCCCTTTTACAGGGTACAAACTGGATCAAAGATGTTCCCTGTTTAGAATTCAAAAGCCACAGACAGTAATGGAATGTAGGTACCTTGATCTACGCAACTGAAACCATTAGTCACGATGTTTCCCAAGAACTCGTATATATTTCCCCAAGCAAACAGAATTGTTTGAAAAATATTTTCTGTTTCCATCGTTCGGATTCCCCTGACACTTTATAAATATCCAGTGACTCGCACTGGGTATGCAATAGTCGAAAAGCGGCAAATGAAGCAGTTGTTTATCGTGTGCCGTGCCGTTTGCTGGGTGGTGGGTGGTGGTTGAGTGGCTGCACGTGGCCTCTGACTTTGCGACTTGCCTGGCAAATGCCGAAGCGGCATTTACCACCAGCTGCGCAGGTGAGCCGTAATCGTGCCCGGAGCTTCGCCTGCTTCGCGGATGCCCGTGCTCGACCAAGATGCCAGGCATCCGTCCGGTGCTAAGGAGCGAAATCCGACAGCGCTTCTGGCTACAGTTTCAGTCGCCGAATGGCTCTCGTCCTAAACGGTTGACGCGCTCCCGGGAAAGACTACCATTGAGGGTCTTAAACCATTGCTCGGGTCAAAGGTCAATCTGGCCGAATATAAGGAAAGTTACAAGACGTAACTCTACAGCTTCAACATTCATCGAGAACAAACAGTGTTTATGCTAAACATTTAGATGAAAAAAGCTGGATCTGTAAAATACAAATCTGAAAAGTGTCAAATGCGGTCGATAATTTCGAGGAATAATGCAAATGCCAATGAATTTATCACGAAAAGGTCTAGTGACATTTCATAAAACTCTGATCGACGATATTTACCTAAAAATAGAAATAGTAAGGAGAACAGTTCAGTGTAGTAAAGGCACTTGCAATTTCTGAAAAAGATCCACCATGAGCGTCAGCGTGGACGTGGGCGTCATGTGGCGCCTCTCGGAGGACTTCAACCGGCGCTTTGGCCTCCGGATGCAGCCGGCCCCGCCAGTTGGACAGCACCCCCATCCGCACCACGGCGCCGTGCACCACCACTACCACCACCACCACCAGCACCAGCACCAGCACCACCAGCATCCGCACACCTCGATGATCTTCAATGGTAAGAGCGCCGAAATTCATAGGAATTTCCGCTGGGCAAATGCCAGCCGCCAGTCGAAGAGACTTGTGTGAATGAACGGCACGAGGAGATTGCTCAATGGCAACCACTCGATTCAAGGCATTTCCGGCGAGCGAGCGGCGGCGGTGCCCCTAGAAATATGAATGAACGAATGGGCACGGTATGGTGGGTCCAGCGGGCTGACATTGTCTAGAAGTGAGAACTGTGTCTTTTAGCCGCGGCGCTGCTTGATCGGCGGATGAGTCATCTTGGTTATGGCACTTTCGTGCTTTTGCAGCGGCACTTTGACCAGGGATTTCCCCTGTGGAGGTGCAGAGTCTCTGGGAATGTCCCCATGGCCAGCAAACAGGAAAATGTATCTACTCTGAACCCTAGAGACGCATGCACATTTTCAGTTGATATGCATTCCAGTCACAAATGTATGGTCGTAGTAGAGCTTCAGTTGCTGCAAAACATGTAATTGACAATCGAAACTATTAAATATATTTATAGATTTTCATAATATGTACCACTATCAACACTTGACTAAAGTGTTAACTAAATAGCGGAGTCTCACTTTTTATTTGATTGTTAGCCTATCACATATAAATTTCATTTGATGCCCGTTTTTCTTCGTGTGCATCGTGAGATCCAGGATTTATGTCCATTGCGGTTGATTTTCTGTGAATCCGCGCGGCTTATGGCATTCAGCTCCACTTGGAACTCTTGCCACGTCGCGGCTCCCGCCAGAAAATCTCGTTTGACTGGGCTGACTTTCGTTCGCGATGCTCTCCTCTCGCTCGCTCTCCAAGTATCTGTATCTGTATCTGTAGATGTAGATGTATCTGTATCTGTTTTTGCAGGGGTTTCCGAGTATTCGCCACTAATGCCCCATCCGCCGGTTCTCTCTTTCAGATCCGTACCAGCTGCTGAACGCTGCCTCGCACCGATTGGTTGCCCAGGGCTCAGGGGGCCAGATCCAGCTGTGGCAGTTTCTGCTGGAGCTGCTCGCTGATTCGTCCAACGCGAATGCCATCAGCTGGGAGGGCCAATCGGGCGAGTTCCGGCTCATCGACCCGGACGAGGTGGCCAGGCGGTGGGGCGAGCGCAAGGCCAAGCCGAACATGAACTACGACAAGCTGAGCCGGGCTCTCAGGTGAGTCTTGTCGTCTCCAGGCACACTCTTGGCTAAGTTTGTGCGCTTCTCTTTGCAGGTACTACTACGACAAGAACATTATGACCAAGGTGCACGGAAAGCGCTATGCGTACAAGTTCGACTTCCACGGCCTGATGGCTGCTTGCCAGGCTCAGGCACAGGGAGGAGATCCGGCCTCCAGCATGCTGGGATCCTACAACCACCACGCCGGCGGAGCGATGCAGTTGGGCCGCCACCCACCACCGCTGCACCACCACCCACAGCACTCGCATCCGCACCACCAGCTGGGTCAGCCCCATTTTCTGCACCCACACCACTCGTCTCCCGCCTCAAACAGCTCCAGCCTGGGATTCCCATCCTCCTCGACGGCCTCCTCGCAAGCTTCGCCCGGCCAGGCGCCCGCCTCCTCCTCCGCCTCCACTTCGAATTTTACTGGTCCATTCCAAGGTGGGACAGCCGGCGTAGACCCGGCCAGGACGTCCTCATCTTCTGCGGGAAACTACGACCAGGGCTCGGTCACTCCCACCTCAAATGCATTCAACTGAGCCCGCCGCAACCCCAATTTGTCGCCGGGGCTGTAAGTTCCGATGGGGCAGGAGGATGCGCAGGACCACCCACTGCGCAAGGGAGAGCGGAGAGCAACCCTGCACCCCAGCCACCCATCGGGCAGCCATCGGGCACCATCAGACCTTTGGCCGTAAAAAGGTCATTTTGTGTAATTCCAGCTACTTTGGGTTAATTGAGGAATTGTGATAGCCTGGAGCATCGCAGAGCAATACTCGGAAACGAGAGCCAATTTGTTACTTAGCCTGTTATCCTTCGCTTCTAGTTGTAAGCAGACATTCGGCAGAGCTCCTTTATTCCATACGAGGTCTCATCATTAAATAATTCTAAGTTCGCACACACAGTAAATACATCAAATCGCAAATGCAAAGCTAAATCAGAGTGCACTCGTACCTTGGCTAGGTTCGCTCGGTGGCTCTGGAAAATGAAATACTGCTTCGAGATTGATGGGCAACGACTTTACTCAAGGTAGGGGTGTGGCGTTAGGTCCCGAGCAGTCCTACACGGAACACTTGATAGCGAGGATCAAGAAGGCCAGGCTGAAGACCACAAAGAAAATGCGGTCCACCGCGGTGGCCAGCAACGCCCAGTCGAACTGGTTGGCCTTGGCGCCCGGCTCTTGAACGGGGTTGATGACCAGCGGACTGGCCTCGACCGCGTGCTCGTCCATTTCCACGGTCCTCTCCGCCTGCGACTCGCCGGTGCTGCTGAACACCGAGAGCAGCAACCAGGTGCCCGGGTTCCCGTGCAGCAGTTTCCTCAGCGCCTCCGGAATGCGTACCTTGTGCTTGGAAGTGGCCAGGAACAGGACTAGGACCTCGACGATGGTGGAGACGCTCAAGAACAGCAGGCTGATGCTGAAGAAAAGCACTGCAATTATAGGGATGCTCGGTAAGTGCTGCCAGTTCGGAAATATTCTACTTCATATGCGACCTGAACTGATGAAATCAATTTAATGCTAAGGCGAGTGAGCTGAGGAGGCGTTCATTGGAATATTATGGCAATGGGGAGCACTCACCCACAAGTGGAGTATTGTTGGACAGCACTGGCAGAAGTTGGGCGAAGTACATGAGGAAGGTGGAGATCATGATGAAGAGCAGGCCGTTGATCATGATCTTCTCGCCGCCCATATGGGGTGGCAGCCAGAAGGTGGAGAGGGCCAGGACGACGATGCAGGAGGCGGGGGTATAGATGATGGCAGTGTACATCGAGGATCGCCGCTGAGCCGTCAGAGTGTACTCCATGTAGGCGTAGTAGTCCTGAATGACAAACTGCGCTCGGGAGTCCACGATCTCCCACTCCGGTGACTGGACCAGGTCGTCGTGGTCAAGGGACTTACCCATTGCCGTGCCGTTCTCCGGCAGGACGACCTTCAGGCCCCAGGAGCCGACCTGCAGCTTGCAGCTCTGCTTGTCGTAGGGCCATTTCAGCATGTTGAGTTCGCAGTAGGCCGTGTACAAGGCTGGCGGCATCCGCCGGAAGTGGCCGTCGTGGCTGAGGGTCACCTGGGTGTCGGCCATTAGGCCGCCTTCTTCGCCGTTAAAGAGTGTGATTTGTGGGGTCCAGACCTCGCTGGACCGCAAGGTGATCTCCGTGATGTTGTCATACTCCGACGGCTGCCACACACGCTCCTCGTCTCTCCATCGCTAAGAACAATATTTGCTTCTGGTTAGTTGATTGGTTATGCAGTATGGGAACTTACTACAATACTTATTAGCTTATTTGCAGCAACAGCTTGCTACCCAGAAAATAAAAAACAATCCAGTCAGATAATGCTTTCCCAAAAGTCTTATCAAGGTTGTGAACTTGAGGAGAACTCGGAGAGCTATCTCGTTTTTTAGCTTCATGAGATGCAAGAAAGGAGTGGACACTGGACTTACGAGATTTAACCAGCAGTGAGTGGTCATCTTGCCGTTCAACTCGTCGATGTCTATGTAGGTGACCACCATTCCCAGGGAGACCTCCGTGGGGGCTCCTTGAAACCAAGGCTGCACATCGCTGTCGTAATTCGTGAAGAGCCCGGCGTGGAGGCGGTCCAAGGCCTTGACATTAGCGTCCTTGGGGTCCGTCGTAGCTGGCGGGGATTCGAGATTGCAGTTATCAGCGGCTTATGCAACTGCGGAGCCGTAAACACTTACAAGTGGCGCCTAGCACGGAAGTCAGCATCATGAGAAGTATTCCCATTAGCATTTGCAGCAGTAGTGGAAGTCCAGGACCGGAAACTGGTGACTTTATCTTCGGAGGAGTCGGCATTGTTCAGTGCGGCTTCGTATTCGCTGTACAATGCTTTGCTCTCGGAATCTGAAAGGGAACTGAGCTCAGCTCGCGGCTTGGCACATGGCCCAGGCTCCTCCGATAGCTCCGGGTTCCTCTGCCGACGTCGCAGATAAAAGAGCAGCCCACATATTTGGGTTTGTGTATCAGCCGTGCTCACATGTAGCGGAAAGATCCGAGGGAGGTTCCTCTTCCTAAGAATTAAATAAATTCTGATAGCACATATATGGGAATAAAATAGTTCTGAAATTAGTAAATGGAATGGAGTACTTGGTAAACTAAAGCCCGGGAATCACACATTTCGCATTTCACAGTTTGAATCATAACTGTCTTGGTATTTTTCTGGATTGGTATGTTCTTATCGCGGCGGCAGCGCGGCCCCACTGCCCAGATGGTGGTATATTTTCGGTATATTTCGGGGCGTCCGATGAGCCAAGACCATGACCATCGATACCGATGCCGATACCGATAACAGAGATTGTTGACGTGTGCTGCTGCGTGTCATTTCGCTTTTCACCCCCGCAAGCCGGCAATTTTCGGGAACGGATTGGATTGGACAACACACCATGGCGGAGGAAGTGATCGGAACCGTAAAGGAGGTGCTGAAGGGCATCATCGAGAATGTAAGCGCACCGAAGAACGAGTCGGCGCCGGGCGAGAAGAAGCCCTCGACTCCGGAGGGCATGGCGGTGGCTTACAGCAGCCTGGTGGTGATGGCCATGCTGCCAATCATCTTCGGCTCCATCCGCTCCGTGAAGCTGCACAAGCTGAAGAAGGTAGGTGCGTCAGTCTCGAGCCGGAAGCTGGTATAACCTGTTCTCTGCATTTCCACTCCCTGCAGTCCACGGGCGAGAAGGCCGACACGATGACCAAGAAGGACGCCATGTACTTCCCGCTGATTGCCTCAGCAGCACTCTTTGGGCTCTACCTGTTCTTCAAGATCTTCCAAAAGGTGCACATCAACTACCTGCTTACCGGCTACTTTTTCGTGCTGGGAGTGATTGCGCTGGCGCACCTGCTCAGTCCGGTGATCAACTCGCTGATGCCCGCCGCCGTGCCCAAGGTTCCCTTTCACATCCTGTTCACCAAGGGCGAGGGCAAGCAGAAGGAGGACATCGTGAACTACAAGTTCTCCACGCACGATATTGTCTGTCTGGTGATCTCCTCGGTGATCGGAGTGTGGTACCTGCTGAAGAAGCACTGGATCGCGAACAACCTGTTCGGCCTGGCCTTCGCCATCAACGGCGTGGAGATGCTGCACCTGAACAACTTCGTCACGGGCGTAATCTTGCTGAGCGGCCTCTTCTTCTACGACATCTTCTGGGTATTCGGCACCAACGTGATGGTCACCGTGGCCAAGAGCTTCGAGGCGCCCATTAAACTCGTGTTCCCCCAGGACTTGATCGAGAACGGCCTGAACGCCTCGAACTTCGCCATGCTAGGACTGGGCGACATTGTCATTCCGGGCATCTTCATTGCTCTGCTGCTGCGCTTCGACGACAGCAAGAAGCGCAAGACGCGCATCTACTTTTACTCCACGCTGATCGCCTACTTCCTGGGGCTGCTGGCCACCATCTTCGTGATGCATGTGTTCAAGCACGCGCAGCCGGCCCTGCTATACCTGGTGCCAGCGTGCATGGGCACTCCACTCCTGGTGGCCCTTATCCGCGGCGAGCTGAAGGTGCTATTTGCGTAAGTGTGCACCTTGGCGGGCGCTTGACTTGAAAGTAATTCGTTCTACCCCTCCAGCTATGAGGACCATCCCGAGGAGAAGCCCGAAAAGAAGGAGAAGAAGGATAAGGACGAGAGCACAAGTTCGTCCGGCAGCAAAAAGAAGGAGTCTAAGAAGGGCAAGTAGAGCCAGGAGGCCCAGGAGCACCCTCTTCGAACAACATCTCCATTCGTTCCATCGTAAATGTCTTCGCAGCTAGCCAAGCTTCCTTTTCGTTCCGATATGGCTTCACTATCTCTCACAATCCGTAACTTATACGGTACACCGCTACAAAAGACGATTCACTTACTGAGTTAGTTACGTTCCTTGGCCAGGCACAACAATCTTATTTAGTTCGATTAGGTTACAATTGTAGAAAATGTTCTGTCGACTTTTTACCGCAATCAAATTTAAATCTAAATGTAGATTTCCAATATTTATGTGGCTCCCGCAAGGAGGCGTATATATTTAAGAAAGAACAGTTTAGATACAAATATATTCCAATTTTTGTAAACAGTGAGCGCTCTCTTCTAAATCCTCGAAAGATCTCCGATTTTAATGGAAACCCCTTAATTTTGACTACGTGTTGCATGGGAATTGCATTTCCTTAAACCAATGCAATAATTTATGTAAACAGTAATGCGAATAAATTCTAGTTTTCGTAACACCAACTTATAAATAAAATCGTTTGTATTTAGTAAGGATTTCCAGGAATATAACCTGAAATATAGCCTGAAATACCAAAAATTAAGCTCATCAAATGCAAAGTTAAACTACAATTTTAATTTAAAAAAAAACTTTAAAATGTTAGTATTTTAATACCGGTTTTGTATCACGGTCACATGAACTATCGATAACCAAATAGTGAGACCCTTTGTGCGGAACGACTGACACCTTTTGCGAGCACAAGCGTTCATTCCTGCAAAAATTGCGGTACAAATTGCAAAAAGTGCAAATTTTGCCAGCGTTTGGATAAAACTCGGTTGCCAAGAGCCACTAAACACACGCGTAGACAGGCAGAGAGGTAGGTGCACTTGCAATAAGCGCGACAAAAGGCGACAAAGCCCCTCGGAGGCCACTTACCAACACACACACATTCGCAGACAGACGCGCGTGTAAAAAGGGCTAAGTGCTGCTAACTGCTAGCAGAAATCCAGGACTCAAGGACACGTTCGGTCGGAATTAGAGACGCAAGCAAGCAGCGACCATGTCCGGAATTGCTATCACACGGCTCGGGGAGGAGCGAAAGGCCTGGAGGAAGGATCACCCGTTCGGGTTCGTCGCCCGACCCGCCAAGAACCCCGACGGCACCCTCAACCTGATGATCTGGGAGTGCGCAATTCCCGGCAAGAAGTCCACCCCCTGGGAGGGCGGCCTGTACAAGCTGCGTATGATCTTCAAGGACGACTACCCCACCTCGCCGCCCAAGTGCAAGTTCGAGCCACCGCTGTTTCACCCGAACGTCTATCCCTCGGGCACCGTCTGCCTGTCGCTGCTGGACGAGGAGAAGGACTGGCGCCCCGCCATCACCATCAAGCAAATCCTGCTGGGCATCCAGGACCTGCTCAACGAGCCGAACATCAAGGACCCGGCCCAGGCGGAGGCCTACACCATCTACTGCCAGAACCGGCTGGAGTACGAGAAGCGGGTTCGCGCCCAGGCCCGCGCCATGGCGGCCTCCGAGTAGTCGGGCTCCTGCCAGTCACCTTCCCCACATAGACATTAACAAATACACACACATCTAGCCGGTAAGCGTTTGTTTGGAATGCTCTCCACATCTACTTAATTTAAAAAAAAAATCGACTAATTTTGGACAGCCCCCGCGGCCCAAACATATACATAATTTTTTAATGTTTTGCAATTGCATAATTACCAGCTTGTACCATCTGAATAAATCCTAATAAGTCCTGTAATTTTTTGAAGAGCCCCAAAGTGGCTACGTGGCACCCAGTAACCGAAGCTCATTCTCATCTTCGATTCTGGGTGCATATCTGATTATTCTACGGTCTATTTTGTATCGCAAGTACTACGTACAAACACATGTAATTTCAATAAAAATGTATTAGTTGTAAAAGTTTAGGTAATTTCAAGTTTTCTCCGGCAATGTGCGGTCGATTACTTGTTGGTCGTCAATAGTCACGACGCAGCTGCATTTAGTGCTTTAATTATGGCCGCAGATAAAATTATGCATTTGCGTTTAACCTTTAAATAATATTGCCTCCATTGTCTAATGCACAAAAATTGTATTTAAAAACTCGCTTAATTTGCATTTTTTTTGTATTTTCTTATTTTTCTGACATTTTCAATTGGTCACCTTACCCAAACTTTTCAGCTGATCTGGCAGACTCGCCTACGTTACTATGAATAATTTTTGAGTGATCTGGCAGCACTATCAGCTGATAAGACGCAGCTTCCCTGCTAACGGTTCATTTCCAACAAAGCCGCCATATTGAAAAATAACCGATTCAGAATTTAGCTTGGAACTCAGCAGATGCCTGCTGAGATTTCTGTGCGCCTGGTACTTCAGTTTGAGGAATACAGCCTAGCAGCTGTTTAGCTCCGAGGGCTTAAATTGAAAATGTTCGATCTGAAATACCAGGGGAACATAAGCGTGCAGAAGGTGATTTCAATGCCAACGATTTCGCCAGTGATCCGATATCCCTAGATGGCTAATTTGGTGGGCAGCTCTATTCTGAGTACCAGGCGAACAGAAATCCCAGCAAGTTCTTCTTCAAAATGGCGTCCTTGTTGCTGATCAGCTGATTTGTCTTTTGCCTGGCGTAACCTGACGGTTACCACATTCTTATATCGATCTGGTAGTATTTCGAACTTTTTGAATCAGTCTGGCAACCATGTCTGCGGATTAATTTCCGCGGGTCTGGCAGCACTCGAAACAATCGTTGAATTCAAAAATTGTAAAATCATTTTGAAGCATATTTTGGGTTTATTTTATGTTGAATAAATTAATTACTTTTATTGTCGCACACACTTAATAAATAATGTACTCATTCAAATTACACAGTTAGAATTGATCGCTTCACGTGGAACAGCGAGTCATTTACATAATAGTATTGGATCTACATAGGAATACTCCGCCTCATTCTACTCAGCAGACCATTGCAAACTTGTAGTTTCTTGCCCTCAACTTAATTTCTGTCTAAGTGGTAAGCTTTGGCATGCATTATATGTCATGATTCCCACTTAATGGGTATGCGCCTAAATTAGTGTATGTACCTAAGTAATCTATATGTTATTCCTTTAGGTGCACTGTATATGTATGGGAGTACGGTGTATATATCTACTTCTATCGATCGGTAAGTCGAAGGAGTCAGTCCCCAAGTGGCGTTGGAAGTGGAGGGCAGCGACGGGAGATTCTCCGGGAATACTGTCGTCGATTGTTTGTGGCGGTTTGGATAGTGTACATTTTAAAGGAGGCTAGGATTCGATTAGTTTCGATTGGGTTGGGCTGCTGCCTAGAAGCATGTGTAATACCACTCCAGCTGCTTGCGCTGCGCCTCCCACCGCAGCTGGCTTTCTCAAATGGCCGCCTCCTGCAGGTTTTCCTTGTTCTTCTGCTGGCCATGTCCACCGACCAGGCCGCCAATGCCCAGGCCCACGGCAACGCCGCCGCCCAGGTGATTCGGACTGGGGCTGTCGCTAGCCTCAGGGCGAATCGGTTTGTTTTTGCAGTAGAACTGCTTGTGAGCCAGGTAGGTCTTCACGTAGTTGAAGGATATGTCACAGGTCGAGCAGTACTTCTTCATCACCTCGGCGGCGGCAGCTGCTGCGGCAGCCATGCTGCTGCTGTTTCCCAGCGGAGAAGTCATCGGCGGAACCAGCCCGCCGGGCGCGGCATCCGTTCCGACTTCGATTGGCTCAGCCTTAATATGTGGCGTGGCGATCGGTGAGTTGTTGTTCTCGTGCACCAGATTCACAGTCGGAGGAGGATCCAGGGGCTCCGATTTAATGTGGAAGCTGTGGACGTAGAAAGTTAAGTAGTACGAATGTAGATCATTGTCGTCCATCCTTACCTGGCTGTCTCTCCGTTGGCTCCATCGGAATTCGAGTGTTGGTTGGGAGCGGGGTTGGAAGTCACATCCTGATCTCTGGTGTCGGGGGATATGGAGGGTGAGTTGATGGCCACATGGGCATGCGTCAGCTTCATGTGGCGCAGCTGTAAATCAAAAACTCTTGTTACTTCTCTAGTCTGGCGGAACTATAAAAGGGTACGCACAACATTGCCCTTGTAGGTGGAAACATAGTTGCAGTAATCACAGTTGAAAATCTGCGGGGGATGATCCATGGAATCGTGTCCAGTTGTGGCAGATGCCCCTGTTGAAGGCACCAGCTCCTGACTCATCGCGGTAGCATCCTCCTCAAAGATGCAGGTCATGTAAAGCTCCTCGTTCACGTCGCTGGTCTTCTTGTCGAAATGGGTTCGAATGTGGGTGCGCATGCCTCGTAGAGTGTTCCCCTTGTACTGGCAGATGCTGCAGCGGTAGGCCTTTACTGTTCCGTGCATCTCCATGTGTTTCTTGGCCAGTGCCGCGGTGGGACTCACTACCCCGCAAACGGGACACTTGTTCAGACTATTGGAGGCGGGTTGCGGATTGGCTGGTGGTCCTGCGAGGGCACTCGCGACGGGAGGTGGACAAGGCAGGCCAATTTCATGCAATGTCTTGCACTTTCCGCACTTCTCCTTGGCCAACGCCAGCTGGCCAGGATCCGTGGGCGTCGCGGCGGGGGCAGCAGCTGCGCCTCCCTTGGGACAGTAGTAGTTCTGGTGGGCGCGCAGGTTGTCCAGGGAAGTGTACTTAATTCCGCAGGCGGCGCAGATCAATTGTTGATATGCTACCGGAGTGGTTTCCACGGACGAAGCAGCTTCTGCCCCTCCGGTTCCCAGTCCTACAGCTCCAGCGATGGATGGTGAAACGGCCGACTTGACATCCACTTCACTCGCACCCTCTTGGCTCCTTGCCGAGCAATAATGCTGCTTGTGTGCCAAGTAGTTCTCGTACTTGCAGAACACAATATTGCACTCCATGCACTTGGACACGCCTTTTTTCACATAGATCTGGGGCTGCTGGGAGCCACCTGCCGATCCTCCACTGCCAGGATTCCCACTACTGGCTTGGGCAGGAAGAGGAGAGGGCGGAAAGGCTGCTGCTCCACTACTGCCCGCCACAGCAGCTGCGGCCGCTGCCGCCGCCAGTTTAAGAGCCAGTTCGGGGTTGGTTTTGGCCAACAGCGACTCGGAGAGTCCAAAGTCCGCAGGTAGCATGGAACGCATGTCGAGCAGATGGGGCACAGCCACATTGAGACCAGGTGGTGACATAGAGGAGGCACTACCAGCCCCGGAGCTGCGTGGACTGATGGCTCGTCTTTTGGGAGAGGGGCTCATCGAGGGACTGCTCGGCAGGGAGGGAGCGCAAACGATCTGCTCGGGAGTCACACTTCCTCCTCCTCTCGGAGTCTCAGCATTCTCCTTGCCAGTTCCCGCGCCGGCAAGGAGTACCTCCTCCACATCCAAGAGGGCATTTCGCAGTTGTCGCTGCCGCAAGCTCAGCGAATTCAGGGTGATTGGCGATCGACGCAGCGAGAGATCGAGAGGCGCAGATTCCCTGGAGTTAGCAAAAAGGGAAAGAAAGGCGTTATTCAGTGGTTTCTTGTTAAGCTCTATTTATAAGCACTAACCTAGTTAACCCAGCCTCTTTTCGCTTGGGCTCTGGCGGACTGCTCTTGGCTTCTGTGGCCTCAGCAGCGGATGATGGAGCTGAAGGGCGTTCGGGCTCCAAGGAGGCGCCAATTAGGGCAGTTGCCAGTGGTTTAATTGTTCCGTTGTCCACGGTGAAGCAGGTGGTCTCCGGATTCACAATCCCCGAGTTCGGTGTAGGCCTGCGCATAAGGTACAATAGTTCCGTTAAATACTTATTACCGTTATATACATTGCTTAAACATTACAGCAAAATGCAAATGGAAGTAACTCAAGGAAGTTTGCCTTGGTAACTTACAGTGGGCCTGGAATGAAGCTAGCTGCTCGGATCAGCGAGCAGGGCACAATTATGATCGGGTGGGTGGGCAGGGCCAGGAAAGGTGGATGCGAATGAGGCGTGGCCTGGAGGGAGGCAGCGGCAGCCGCTGCTGCAGCTGCGACGGCGACCATCGCAGGAGTAGGGGTTTTGTTCCTGGCCTGCGGACTCAGCTTGCCGGGCGTAGCCGCTTGGGCAGATACCCCTATGGATCCGCCGGTGGAGCCGGGTCCGGTTCCTGCTCCCGGAGATGAGTCTGGCTTGGGCGTGAGCTGTCCCTCTGGTCGCCGCGAACTGCAGTAGTGCTGTTTGTGCGCTCGATAGGTCTTGATGTTGTTGAACCGGATATCACAGTGGCTGCAGTAGCGATCGGTTTGCTGTGGATGGGATTTGTTTATTGTTAGCTTGCGGATTCAGGGGTCACTGGCACCTCAACACTTTACTCACTTGACTAGAGCTATCCTCCATCGGATTGGGCGTGACTCCCGGAGGTGCTATTCCGTTCTGGAGGAGACTTGGCAAGCTGGCCAGCGTGGGAGCTGCCGGCGAAGTCTGGTGCATGCGCATGTGGCGATTTAGGGATACCTTCTTATCCGCGCTGTAGGAGCACTGGGTGCAGCCATATTGCTTTCCGGTCCTGGCCATTTTGGCTGGTGGCTCGGAGCCCCCGGCTAAACCTGCTGCCTCGCCAGCTGCGGCCGCCGATCCTCCTGCCCCTGACTTATCACTGCCAGCCTCGTCCGTGTCCTTAATTCTATGAGAGCAATAGTAGGCTTGATGGGCCTCCAGAGTTGAGGGCGAACTGAATGCAATCCCACAGGGCAGGCACATAAATCTGGCTGGTTTCAGCAGAGGTTCCGCTACATCCGGTTGGGCTTGTGTGTCCGGCTTGACGAGCGGCGGAGGAGCCAGGAGGCGAGAGTCCGGCAGGGTCAGCTCCTTGGCATCTGGCTTAAGGGCAGGATCTGAGGCCAGAAGCGCATTCAAACGCACTTTGGGATACTTGGGCGTGGGACATGGCGAGGGTGAGGGTGAGGGGCATGGAGAGGCTTCCGCCTCCGAGGGCGGCGTGGCGGGCTGCTCCAGCTTGGGAATCAGATGGGGAGAGCTGGGACTCCTGGGCGGAGTGCTTGGGCTGTTTGCCGGCAGTTCCTGCTGTTCCTCCGGCTGAAGATCATGGTCCTGCTCCATCTCTGTCTCTCCCAAATCCTGCTCCTCTTGGCGATTAGCATTTTCTGGCTGCTCAAAGTCAGCATCTTCATCATCGTCGTCTTCTATATTGTTATTGTTGTTCTGGGGGTCTCTGGAATTGTCCAACTGATCCTCCAGGTGGTCCTCCATTTGCTGCTGCTTCTGCTCGCCCATTTCCTGAGCGTTCAGATCTTTGGAATCTGCAAAGAATGAGCGCAATTATATCAATATGGTTATTATTCAGAAGTAGAAAAAAGAACGATTAAGCTAAATGGGTGCACAACGATTTTTTACACTATTTCAACTCCATATTAAGAATTTATCTGGCTGGATTAAGCAAGCTTGAGTATGCGCTCTGGGGTCAAACAGTTACCCGGCAGTTTAGTGCCTCAAATTGGCTTCGCGGAATCCGCAACTGCGGCATCCAATCTCTTGCATCCGCTGCCCATGAGGAATCTATGTGTCAGACAGCTGCTTTGGCAATTATTATCGAACAAATTGTCAGTGGTCGGAGCTGTGAAAACAATGCGACAAGAGTCGGTTGGACAGGCTGCTGCCCAGGAGGAGCAGGGGCAGTTTATCCACTCTGGCCATCTCTTACGTGGAAAACGCTGGTGGAAATGGAAGGAGATGGGCAGGGAAAAGAAAAGCCCATGGTGGTCACTGATGATTAGGCCCCGCGGATCGCTGCAGAAGTTCGAAGTTGGCCAGAATCCCAAACTGACATCTGATTTGTTTCTGTTTTGGCCACGGCGAAATATTATAACGACCAACGGCGATGCTGGCCGAGATTATGGCGGCGGACAGTGGAAGTGGACGTGGACATGGCACACACATGGCATGCAGATGGAGTCGCCGGATAAGCGTCGCAGTTTGCAGTTTGCATCTCGCTTCGCCAGAAATTCGACATCTCGACCGGAGCGAACATTTGCCCTGCTCGTGCGGGCTACAGCTCCCAAAAGGCCCCCTTCTGGAGTCCTCCCTCGCCCATGGGTTTCCTTTGAGGATGGGAGGCTGGAGGAGATGCGCGTTGACCTGTCAATTGATGGCTATTGAAATGTCAGCACATCCAGAGCGACTGAGTCCCCAACAAGGAGGGAAGCCAGAGAGACTTCTACACAGCAAATCGTTTTGAAGCTAGATCTGAAGTCATTCTCCGACTTAGCCCAAAAAATTCCGAGATGCAATTGTAGTGTATTTGCTGGTTTCTCCTTGTATCTTCAGACTAAACAACGATATTTTCAAAGCTCGCAAAGCAAGCCCAGTTTCTCGCTGTGGAGACCAAGTTTGTTGCCTAAGTCTTTTGATTGCTGCTGTTTGTGCTGCCGCCGCCGCTGCCACTGCCACTGCAACAAATGTTGCAACTGTTGCCAAACTATTGACGGCCCGCCCTAATTGCCGCCGTCGATTTTTCACGAATTCACACAATTCTGCACGTGAGCAATCGGTTAGAAGAATCGCTTCCCCCTGCCCCTCCAAAAACAAAAAGGGCTCTGCTGGCATTCCGAGGCATTCTGCTTATTTGTAAGATATTTATTGCCTTCGATTGGGTGGCGATAAGCCGCACACGTAAAGTGTTTTGTCCGGGCGAAGAGGCCTCCGCGAAGAGAAGGGCAGAGAGATGGCCGAGCGCCGATAGAGTGCGAACGGGAGACTAACAGCTAACAATGGCTCTTGGCTTGGTTTCGACTGTGCCCCGACTTGGGTGCCCCGCTCTTGGCTTGGAGTCCCAGCTCTGCCCCCAGCGACAGCTGCCTCTGCCGCCGAGGATCGCTCGGCTAGCCCGGGCTGGGATCGGCAGCCCGGCTCAGCGGCTCACCAGTTGGTGGAGCAGATCTCCTCCAGCGATTGTTTCGCGAGTGCCATCCCAACACCCTCTCCTCTTTTCCATTGTTGTGCGGACTCGGTTCTGGGCCCTAAAACCGCTGGCAACCGCCAGATTAGGCGGTTTCAAATGGGAACCTCCAATATGATACTCAACTCTAACATTCTACTTTATATGTGTACTGCTGTTTATATAATTTAGGCAAAATTACATTAAGCATACTGTTTTACTGTGGAAGACCTTTCATAGTTGTATGCCCAAGTGCGAGGAATTTCAAGGCTACGCATTCGCATTCGCATACGAAATCGATTTGGGATCTGGGAACAAGCCGTCTTCGCTGAAATTGCGATCGGGCGATCGTTTGTTTAGCCATTTCGTAACGTTACGCCGCCCCACACACCTTTTGCGTGGAAGGCTGGGGGGGATTCCCCGGTGCTCCTCGCATCGCCCCCTGCGGCCAACGCCAACAATTGCTTATCAATTTGTTAAATCAGCTCGCCGCCGTCTTCAGCGTCAGGTCGCTCTTCTCTTCTTCTTGCCGGAGCTGCGATCGATCCTCGCCGATAAGCGACACAACAAAAACACACAGAGGGGAAAGGTGAGGGAAGGTGGTGCATGTGGGCCGGGGATACCTGGCACTTTATCAGCCGCCAGATGATTGTTGCTGGTTTCTCACTTGGCAACTTCACTCGGTGGGCGTTGTTGGCAGCCATAAACAATCGAACAATTTGGCCCAGGCCCGATCTCGGCCAGGAAAAGGGGTGGAGGGGAGCCCAAAGAAGGAGCAGATCCCCAGGATCGACCCTTTGTTCATTTGTCGCTGGCTTTCAACCCGCGGACCGCCGTCGCTGCTAATCGTTTCGGGGTCAGTTAACCCGAAATCGAGAAAAAAGCACTGCTAACCGAAAACGAAACTGGCAATCCCTGGTAGATCTTCCTCAAGATGGTGGCCAACCAGGGAACGAACCAAGGCTGCCTAGGATCTCGGGAGCCAGTCGCCAGTGCGTCTGGCTGGGTCACTACTTAGAGTTCGTTGGATGCAAGTGAGTACGTGGGTAAGTGGGTAACCATTAGTGCCAAGTTACCAAACTTTACTTCTTTTAATATATTTCTAATTCATTTGTCAGGCAATTTTCGGCTGAATATTTCCCTGGAGCATTGCTGATGGCCTTCTGTGATTTTGAAACTATTGAGGCTCCGCTTACTCATTAGTCACACCAAATAAGAGGGAACTACTGTCTCCGAAACCCCCAATGGAGCATAATTAAACAAATTTCTGCGGCCGCTATCGAAGATCGGGATTTTTTGGGGGGAGAACAGAAATTGAAAAACGTGAGTGAGCAGCCCAAAAGGAAAAAACCAACGGGGGAAACGTCTGCAGCTGCCAATTGTGATAAGAGAAATCTTCATTTTCGCGCGAAAATTTTGCCACCTTGCCTGGGGTTTCTGGGGTTTCTGGGGTTCCTGGGGTTTCCGGGGCTGAGGATGCGATTTCAAGTGGACTGCAGACCGCAGACGGTGGACCTGGGACTACGGGACTACGGGACTTGGCACGGGTAATCAACGCCATCAGCAGCTCGGGGAAGCAGCCAGGGCTCTGGGCCAACTCCGCGCTTATCAATTGTTATTAATCAAGGAAAAGGAGGCCCCTCGGAGGCCGGCAAACGAATGCAAAGAGCGCAAAGTTCGCAAATTTCATTTCACTTCACACTTGGCCAGTAGGAAGAAATGAGGCGGAGAAGTCTTAGCAGATCTGTTTTTGCGCCGTGTGTCCGTGTAAATAATCAACATTCTCATATCTTGGGGGCTCCCAAGCTATTCGTGATTTACTCGCCGAATCCACTGCTCTTTTTTGCCAGTTTCAACTTCGATTCCTGGCTCTGTTGCTGTAGTCAGCACCTCTTTTGGTTGTCTCTATGGGAACCCGGAGAGTAAAATTCCTTCGATCCGCGGATAAGCAATTTTGGTTCCTCTACAACCTTTAGTTGCTGCGCTCTTCTCGTCGCATTATCGCCCAATTCAAGCCAACAGGCTTCGGACAGAAGTTCCTTTTCCGAGCGAAACTAATTTAGTTCATTTGGTTCAACTCAAGTTGCTGATGTCAAGGGAAGGATCAGATTAAGAGCTTGCAGTTGTGGGAGTGGGAGAAGGCATACACTTGTGGTCAAAATAATAGCCCTTCAAGATCCTAGGCTTGTTTATTACTCACTTAAGTACGAGTATAGTATTGTAAGGTATCACAGCATCACGTAGCTTTCTGCTTTTCCTAAACTTAAGTCAGCAGTTCTATTATGTCCACCTCAACTGTATTTGTAGTCCAACCTATGTGGTACTATATCTCCGATCTATAGAAACCGAAACACAAGCCGCAGACAAAGACAGACGGCAGGCAATTCCTTGAAATCGCCCAAGTCAAAGTCTCTTTTTGATGTCTTAATTAAAAAACGTGCAAATGATACAAGGGACTGGGGCAGGGGCGGCCGAAGGGGGCTCCAAAAGGGGCGATCGTCTGGGCCCATGCACAGAGTTCAATGTTGAGCAATTGATGCAACTGTTGAGATGTGTTGCTGCTGTTGCCTGTGCTGCACTCGCTGTTGCTGCTGCTGTTGCTCTTGCTGCTGCGCTTGCTGTTGCATGGCGCGCTGATAACAAGGCAGCGGGTGGGGGCATGGAAATTGTCGCAGTACTTGAAAATTTCGTGTGAGCACGCTCAGCGCCGATTGTTTCTGGCTGCGGTGCTTGATCGCTTGATCAGCAGCAACACAAGCACAAGCACAAGCGCAGCAGCAACTGCTGTCGTCGGGCTGCAACTGCAACTGCAACACCAACACCAGCCCACTGATCAATTGCGATCTCGGCCGAACACAATAATGCTGCCTGTTGCTCCCACAATCTCATGTGCTGCTGCTACGGCGGCTGCGGCTGCTGCAAGGAGTTGCTGCCGTGCCTGCCACTGTTGCACAAATTTAAATTGACCCAAGTGCAAGTATGAATGTCGCTAATCTGCCATCGACTGTTACTGCAACATGTTGCTGCCGGGCTCATAATTTGCGTTTATTAAACAACCTGGCATTTGCACATTTGCATAAATGTCGCTTTCCTCGATTACCATCGGTCGATGGTGGAAATGGCAACAGCAGCAACATCGGCTGAACTACGACCGGCAGCAACATGGCACCGCAGCAACATTCGCAATTGCTGTAAACAAATCACGCTTTCTGCAGATCAATCAAGCACTGACAACTGCCCCAAGAAGTCACAATTCAATTGCGATGTTGCCCCGCCTGCGACTCCATTTCCTTTCGGGCCATTTTCCCTTATAGACACGACGGCAACAGCTTGTTTCTCTCGACTGTTTTACTGTTGCTGCTGTGC